TGCCAGAACAGACTATATCTTTCAGGGCCTGTTTCCCTTCATTTTTCTCCGATTCCGGTATAAACTTAATCTCCTGTCACTTTTATATAAGATAATAAAACTTATAATACTGCAGACAGCACTGGGTCATATGCAATAGGTTAAAAGGAGAAAAGACTCTGCCACCAAAAGTAATATATAAATCCTTCTCACTTGTTCTTCACTCCAGTACTTTGTGAAGCCATTTCAGATACTTAAAGCTGACATCTATTTGGCTTTCTGTTGGTTTAAAGATGCAAATCCCCACGCTTTGATAAATCTTACTGCAGAGTTTCTGTTTTTCAGAGGGAAGCATAGAAAGGAACATTTTACATTTTTCCTTAATTTTTACATATTTTGCATGAAAATGATCTCACAAATGAAAGGAAAAGATATTTTAGGAGAGCTACATTTGAGCATTATGCAAACATTTCCCATGCTTTATTTTTGAATCCTGGGAGACTTGATTCAAACTCAGCTATTTTACACAACGGCTTTTCATCCAGAATTAAAACTCCGCTTGAAAGATACATGAATTTTAAAACCTGCATTGCATTTAAACTGATGAAAACAAAAGAAATTACGAGGGATTTTTACGATACATGTTTTATAAAATATTTTTGTAGTGAGGAAACCACAAGCGTACAGATGATGAGAGGAAGTTAATAGATATTCAAATATGTCGCTAATTCAATAACTTTGAACTCTAAAGAATTTTCCATTTTTCAAGAACAGTTATTTGGTGGAAGAAAAAGAAAAAGAAAAAGAAAAAGAAAAAGAAAAAGAAAAAGAAAAAGAAAAAGAAAAAGAAAAAGAAAAAGAAAAAGAAAAAGAAAAAGAAAAAGAAAAAGAAAAAGAAAAAGAAAAAGAAAAAGAAAAAGAAAAGAAAGCAAGTTGCAAATAAACTGCATGTCCACTGACATCTTCCAACAAAGAAGAATGAAAGGTTTTCTTTTTGGATGGAAAGGCTTCGTGTTATTTCAGTGACTGTGCACAGGAGATAACCAAGCAGCTAAGCTACGCGGGGGTCTTGATCTCACACTTGTACAGTAGGACACCCAATGTTACCTCTATTTTGACATAAACCAGGATAACCTTCAAAAGCAAATGCCTGTCACTCATGAGGAAAAGAGGTATGACCAGCTGGTAAAACAACCCCAAATGGGTGAGCATCAGTTATTAAGCCTACCACTCCACTGTACGTTTGTGTGTGACAAGTGACATGGAGCACTGTAAAGCAACCACAGCCCTTCGTGCTGACTTCTGCCGGGCAAAGTGTTTGTTCCCTTTCCGACACACGTCGGGTCTTTCTTACGTGTTATATCACCATGGCCCCCCTTGGGGAAAAAAAACAAGCCAGAGCAAAATCCTGTGGTTTCCAGAAGGGTCGTTTCATCAGATAAAGGTAAGCATGCCGGCTCAACACCACCCTCTCCATTGAGGAATTTACTCTTCTCCGTGGCTTCTGAGCATGAGGACTGAATATGATTCCTCATGTGAAAAGAACAACTCTCCATTCTGTTGGAGAAACACAGGCACAGAGTGAGTGCTGAGGCTGCATTCCTATCTCTCCGTCACCACAGCCTCCAGGCCTGCTGGGACAATTACTCCACACTACTCTGGCAGCTGCTCATTTTAGACCCGATACACCAAGGCCTCAAACAGTGACTTCCAGTGCTCACACTCACTGCTGCATTGCAGAGGATTTTCTGGCTCCGAACATCTCTCCTTCCACTGTCATCAAATCTTTGGGTAGATGAGGAAGGTTTTCCAATTTTTCACTGACATCAGAAATGAAGCACAACTAAATTCTGCCAAATATACATGAAACCACATTTGGTTTTGCAAAGAGCTGTGGAGAAGCCCACAGATTTTGTTGCTACAGTGCTTTGTTATATTTGTGCGTTCCGATGCAGGATTTTAAAGCATAATGCTTTAGCAGTGGGCTTGAGACAGCTGCAGCCAACTTCCTTTCTTGATTACTGCACTGTGGCTATCCCAAGACATAGTTCAGTTGTTAGGTGTTAGCTGTTTCCATATTGAGGAAACAGTTGAAAATTGCTGATTTAATAAAACCACACCACTGGCCAGAAAGTGAGAAGCTAATTTGGAATGATGTTATGGTGTGTGCTGTGATGCCTGAAATGTCACGTTAAGACTTTGAAACAGGCAAGTTATTCCTTTTATTTCTTTCAAGCATTACAGAAAATAGACTATAATTGTTGTGTGATCAAATCCAAATTGAATTAATCACCTGAACCATGAATTCAGAAATACTCGCCTGTTTTTTTGAATAAAGCTACAGAATCATAGCACCAACATTTTATGAAGAACATTGAGGTGTTTGTTTTAGAGAGAAGAGGTGTTTTCCAGTGAGAATCCTCTTCATTTACAGCTGTTACACCAGCTGCTGCTATATATCTAGAAAGGCGCAGAAACAGCAGCAGGAGAAAGGGCAGACTCTCATCTCTCTGTCTAGGCAACCTCCGGACGGGTTATCTGAAAGTGCCACCAAAAAAAGGCCACAGGCGCTTCCGCCGGTGCAGCCCCGCAGCTCTGCAGGGTGGGCCAGCGGCTCAGCCTGCAAGGCTGCCAGCACAAGTTGTGCTCATTTCCTGCAGGCTCCGGGTGCTCTGAGAATTGTCCGTGTACACCCCGAGGACTAACACAGCTCACATCTAGCTGCGCAACCAATTTCCTCCCCGATATCGCTGCCACTGGCAGCTGTGATCAGATGCTGCTGCTTTAGGGCCAGCCCCTGAGATTGCTGGGCCCACACAGCAGGGAGAGGCCTTCCTTTTCATCCCCAAGTTCACACTCACAGTGGAGCAGCTGAGCCAAGATCTGCTAAATTTCTACATATAAACATTTTCTTCTGGAAGGTGGTCACCGGGCTGGAAAAGTATTTTAGTAACTTTCTGGAAGTATAGTTCTATCCTCACAGTTTTGCTGTGCTGCATGTAGGTATAATGATAGTCCTCTGACACAGGCGGTCATGGAAGGCCTGATTCTCCGCTGCCATGAGCCCATCTACTTTGGCACAGTAATTCCCTTAAAATAGGATTAAGTGGCAGTAAGTTACGGCCACTTTGCCCTGCCGATGGACTATGAATCTGTGTCTTGCTATACATGAGAGTCAAGCCCATTTTTTCTGTTTTAACTCTTTGCTCTGGACCTTAGACAGCAAGTAGAGGTTACACGATTTCTCTATAAGTACAGAACTATGGTTTTTCCTGGTTCCTGATACCCAAACCAGTGAATATATAACTTGGCATTAGACCTCACCAAGGCCTTGTCTCTCAGTGTAGTAGGAAGCAAGTGCACATGGGGCTTTTCTACCCAAGGCCCAAACGTGGTATCCTCATCAAGTCTGTGCCCACTTTCACTCGTGTGATACGTCTTCAGACCTGCCTTTGAAAACTGACATTAAAACACAGCCTAATGTCACGTAGGTGTATATGGGTGGTCTTTTCTACCAGAACATTTGCAAACACCCATTGATCCGAATGGCGGGTTTTAGAGATGTAAAACACGAAGCCACACAGCGCAATGCACAATCCCACCTCACTCTGATAGCAGCAGCAGAAGGGCATGAATTGATATTAAAATATGCCAGCAGACCTGCTTGATAACAAATAATCCCTCTTAACCTACCTTTCCCCACACAAGTGTTTTCCTCAGGGTAAATCCTGTGCTCAAGCTGGCATCCTCCAGACACCATGGCCCCACTCCCGCCCCATCCACAAAGAGAAACACAGCTTCGAGAAAAAGTTAGAAGGTCTTAAAGCCTTTTTTTCTTCTGGAAGCTGGTCACTGGGCTGGAAAAGTATTTTTAGTAACCTTTTGGAAGCATAGTTCTATCTTCACTGTTTTGCTGTGCTGCATGTAGGTATAGCGACTGTCCTCTGACACGGGCAGTCATGGGAGGCCTGAAAGTTAGAAAGCCTTAAAGCTAGATTCTGATTTTTCACAGGGACCTGTGCCGGAGGGACAGTTCCAGCCTCTGTAAGCTCCCTCTTCATTCACCTTTTAGATTACCTGTCTCTCATTGGCAACACGACAAAACCATCCCACTGCCAGACGCAGCTGGAGTAAGCAGGATCCAGCAACGTGTGTGCACAGGCGTGCACACGTGCGTGCGCACACACTGCTCTCTAATGGGATCCCACACCATGATCACGGCATGGTTGGCTCAGAAAGCAGCCGAGAAGACTCTGTGGGGGTGAGATGAAAGCAAAGAACTACACCCGCGGCCATTTGGATGGCAGGCACAGCCCCTCCATCTCAGGGGAAGGCAGAAAGAGATGCCTGTTAACGCCCAACAGGGCATGGCTGCGGCGGCAACCGGAGCCCATGACGGAGATGTCGGCAAATTAAACATATTTCAAACCTCACTTCAGTCCTAAGAACCTGAATGTCACTTTTCTCAAATTCAAACAATAAAACTTACAACTAAATTTGCTTGGAAACTTTTAAGATGAAGCGGAACAGTTTCCCACTAATGATGAAATACTTCGCAAAGGAGGAACAAAGCCATCCTCTGAGTTTTAATGTGCCTATTGCTCCTGCATTCATGTTTCTTACAACAGCAACGGGAATCGGAATCAGGCCCACCATTTTAAGAATACTTCATGTTTTCTCTCTTTTTTCTTCTGTCAGTTAACATATAAAATACTGGCATTGCCCAGCCCATCGCACCACTTTCTGTACTTTTATATGAGGACTTTTTACGCTGAAGTGGAAACAAAACTCCAGAAGATCCATGACCTGGGTTGGGATTAGACAACTGCTTAACAGAATATCACAATACTGAATATTTAACGGATGGTATTAAAAGTAGAACTAATTATGTAGAACTAATTATGTAAATCCATTTCACAATGTGATTAATAAAAGTAAAACTAAAGATACTGAATTTGATTCAGAATATAAATTCGCTTTACAATATTTAGAAAGAAAAAAAAAAAAGACAAAGAACTTACCAGGCGCAGGAAGCTGAAAGAGGCTGTTGAAAAATAAACGTTACGGAAGTCAACTATTCTGGGCGAGATAGGGGAAGAAAAAAAGAAGAATGAAGATCTGTGTTCTTGGGTTTTCAGGCAGACTTTTTTCTAGCAGATCAGAAAAAATATATTATGTAGAAAGAAGAGGGGGGAAAAAAAAAAAAAAAAAAAAAAGGTAAGTGGTGAGCAGGACCCTCTGCACCTACAGGCCAAATAAGTCCCGGAGACTGGGTCACTCATCCGGCAGCGGCAGTGACAGGGGACCCAGATGTAATATGACGAGAAATAGCAGAGTGGTTTAGGGTAAGTCAGCTTCCTGGTGAGAGCTCCTCAGCGCTGCCTGTGTGGGTTTTGTTGTGGGTTGGCGTGTGAGCGCGAATGTCTTAATGTCTTTGGTGGCATGTAAAAACCCGCTCCTCGAAGCTGGGGGAGGGAGGCAGAGCCGGCAGCCTGCAGCACGCTCTCTCTTTGCAGGCTGCTGCTCCTCTGGCCGCCTCTGCTCTGGCTGCTGGAGGCATAGCACAGCCCCACAAGGAGGAGAAGAGGAGCAGAGCCACAGCTGCCCGGTGGTTCTGCACATGATTCACGTGCTGGTAACATGGCATGGTAACACTTGGCATGTTTTTATGCAAGCTGGAATGACTCCCTGCCTTTAATAAAACACAGAGTGTGCTTTTCCCAGCACAGACAGCTTGAGCAGGCCGGGTTATCGTCACTTCCAGCCTTCCTGCCACAAGGCTCCAATGCTAGTTTTGGGATTTCAAGTGCCTGGTCTACGGTCTGTACAACAGGAGCTATGAGCATTTCCCAGCTCCCATTTCCCAGCTCCCTGCATGTTCCTTCCTGACTCAAGCCCTGTGTGTATGGGGATCCCTCTGTCCTTGCCACCCTTCCCATAGGGAGGACACCCGGCTGCACTGATCAGGGAACTACAAGAGGCTGCCCACGTTGGACGAGCAGGCAATGGGGCTGCCATCAGGGCATCCCTGTCCCAGACTCCTGAAGCAGCCAGAGAGCCCTGGCACAGCAGGACGGAGACACAAGTTGAATGCCGGGGGCCCCAGTCCTGACCAGCGCAAGGGGCTGGCTGCTCCTCAGCCAGATACACAAGCATGGGGTTGCCCAGCAGCTTCAAGACCAGCTTCCGAGGCAGAAAAATGGAACCTGAGACCTTTCCAGAAAATATTTTGGTTTCATTGAAGACATTCTTCACCATCTCTTGCTATGAAGTAGCAAGATCGGGCTGCCTCATCCAGGTCTAAAGCCATGCGTTTTGTATTCATTGCAGGATGAGAAGCCTTTGGTGAAGAGAATCTGTCCACATAAACATTATGTTGGCATGATGCATTCCAAGATAAAGTTATACTGCTTCCAAGAATGATTTAAAACCAACAAATTACAAGATAAAACAGAAAGGAAACAAAATGATAATTTATGTGCAACAAAACGGTAATTTATGTGTAGATGAAACGCAGTTTGTGCCAAAAAATATAAATAGCTGCTGACATAATATTACCTGTGTAAAGAGGCTGTAAACATGCTGAGATGAAGCTTGCAGAACAGTGCTGAACAGTTAGGCTAGGGAAAATAAATGAATTCAGTTAATTATCTGTAGGGATGAAGGTAAAAGGTAGTTCACAGAAGACATTGTTGGAATAGTCTAATCCTAAATGCTTCAATACTCCTTTTCATTTGAGACAAAATTTTGAATAAGAGGCTTCAATAATTTATGTGAGAACTCATGTCACTTAATTTTCACATTAAACACCTATTCTTCTGTTTTTAACCAGGTTTGTGTTTCCCAATACCAGTGCATGCAATCAGGCAATAAGTTTCCATTGCGATCATGATAAAGAAAGTCAGACACCCAAACATTTAAAAATGTTTCCACTAAAATGCTGTGGCTTGTCAGAAGTAGAGAAATAACTACCATTTGCAAATTACATTGATATAAATGTCTTAGGTGAAGTCTAAACGTCTTTTAGCTCTGCTACAGATAGAACTACTTTAAATGCAACTATATTTTTCTGCTTTGTTCTGCAGACTAATCCAGATGTGAGACCATCTGGGTAAGCAGTCTGCATTTCGGAAAAAGAGCGCATCAATCTGTGAAATACTTCATAAACAACTTCTGAATCGTGAGCTCTGTGAAAAACAAGACTGTAGAATAAGAAATAAGTTATAACATGCCTTGATTTCCGCCTGTTTTCTTCCACTATGCTTCCTGGAGCATCTTCACCCAGTAATTTCCTAAAAATATTTGAACATCAGGGTGGATTTTTTATCAATACCTTAATTTTGGGGGAGTTTGTGAATAAATTCTGGAGCCTTTTCATGGATATGTACATGCTTTGTGTAGCATTTGCTCCATGACTTCACTTCCTAGTGACCTGGGATGCCATGAGGACCACCCCAGCTCCATACCCACTGCACAAAGCACAACTCCAAAGTCAGGTGCAACATCTCAGCCTAATGGATATGTTTTCCTTGATATATTTTTTTCTTTAACATTGTTCTTGTATTTTTTGCTGCAGCTTTTCTGCCCCCTTTCACCTCTTCACACTGTGTAACGAAGAGGAACATCTGGCTGTGAGAAAATATTGTTAATACATTCAAAAATACCTTGCTTCTCCTTTTTTTTAAACTCACTATGAGTCATTAACTGGGACTTTCAGAAACAAACACTTTGTTGTGGAAAATATTTATGGGGGTGGAGTGGAGGGTTGCAAATTTTTATATTTCTTTTTTTTTTTTTTTGCATTGAAGACTAAGTTGACAGCAAAAAAAAATAGTCTTAAACCTCAAGTAACTGAGGATTTATTACCAATAATGTAAAATAACATTATCCAGGGTTTTGTCGTGGTTTAGGGTGGTTTACAATGACAGGTCAAGTTTGTCCCTTGATCCACTGATTATGTCTGACTTGGAGAAATTAGTGGGAAGCAGATGTTGGGAAGGGATTTGAGATCAAGAAAGGAAGCTGTTCCTGTTATCCTGGCCTGATTTCCTTGTTGTTCTCTCATTTGCTCATGAAGTAAACCATGACACTCTTGATACCCATTGTATTTAGCTCCAACGAGCCTTTCTTGTGTCCGAAGTGACCATTATGCTACACAAAATAAAGCCAATTGTTGTTTATATCTAGGCACGTCACCAAAGTTATAAACAACATACAAAGTGTGTGTTTACTCCATAAAAACCTTTTTTTTTTTCTTTTTTTTAAATCATCATTTTCAAAGGGGAGCAGGATAAAATGTGTGCAGTCAAGATGTCAGCAGCGCATTGGAGAACTGGGATGCTGCTATTTGCTTTCTCTTGAGTTCTTAAGCAGTACCAGACGGGTACATTGCCCAGACCCATTTCAACCTGGGGGTGAGCACATCCCCTTTCCAGGGGCAGATACCTCAAAGAAAGGGGGACCTCCTTTCAGCATGGAGGAGAGCATCACAAAAGTCTCTAAAATGGACCCAGCATAGAAGTATCTGCAGAATTACTCATTGTCAGAGAGCCAAATCTGAAAGAGGAAATGAAAATGCAGTTTCACAAGCAACTCCTACATGGATTTTGGTAATATATATCATGACTTTGCCTTGGTGAGTTAAGGCTTTGGTTTCTAAGCAAGCTAACACAGTGGTTAGGCCCCCCTCAGCTTGGTGTTGCAGTGGCACAGTCTGAAGCGTGTGGTGGTAACACAGAAGCCAAACCCTGACGTGAGGCTAACCCTCAGCTCAGCTCTCAAACCTCAGCTGTCGAGCCCCTTCCAAGGCTCTGCCTCTGCCCTGAGGTGTGCCAAAGGATCCAACACAGCTCCAGTGTGGAGGGAGGGGCTTTGCACTGCTACAGAGGAGCTGGGGCCACAGCCACCAGCAGTATACTCACTGGGCAGGGAGGGCCAAGGAGCACCTCCATCTGCCCTGAAACAGCAGATCAGTCCCCATAGTAACATGGAAATATCATCCTCCATCGCCAGGCTTGCCCCACACTTCAGGTGGCCATGGAGCACCCCTCAGCTACTCCTGCTCCGGGGATCAGGCCCTGGGCCACCCAGCGTCTGGGTGCAGCATTGCTGAGACGGGTGTGAGGCATTGAACTGGGCACGTCTGAGTGCAGACTTCTCAGGCCTAACATGGAAAACCCCAGGTTGTGCAAATGGTGACCAGGCTTGGGTTTGGCTCTAGAACTTGGGTGTGGGCAGCTACATCATTATCCGGCCTCCTTTCAAGCCCAATTGAGCTCTGTTCCATACAACGAACCCGTATGCTGGTGGAGCTGCAGCAGGCAGAGATTTCCCTGCTGTTTGAGACCTCGGTGTTCTGTAGTCTTAACAACAAAATTACTCTTTACTGCCTTTAATTTTTGAACAGATTAGCTATTTCTTTGGGATGTTTCTCTCAAGATGTGGCTGTCAGTGGCATATGCCATGCAACAAAGCTAATGTTTACTCTCCTTCCTTTCTTGTTACCTGACAAGCAGAAAAGTGACGATCGCTTCGTGGTATAATTCCTCCTGTGACGCCAGGAGGGAAGTGGCAGTCAGGACAACTTATGGGAAGTGCTCTCCTTTAGAGTAACTTGAAAATCTACTTCCCCTTTCCTAAAAGGGAAGAATGCTTAGGTACCATACTGAGGGTTACTTAATTCCCCCCAGATTTTGTCTTAAAAGCAACCACATTACTTCCCCAAAACTCAGTATTCTTCCCTAGAATCAGGTAGACATCCTAATTCCCCAAACACCAACCAGCCCAATTAGCATGGGCACAAGCCCACATCAGTTTCTGTAACTGTCTGACCTGTGTAATATTCCCTGCCACCAGGGACAGCTAAACTTCCTGCCCCCCATCTGGCTTTACCATGAGGATGATCCTAGTGGCTTTGCTGAAACCATGGAGGAGGCTCCATGGTTTTCTCCATGAAGTCGTGCCCAAGCTGAAGGACTTCATGGCTTCATGGTCAGATCAGCCTCCTGCCCTCACCACCCTGGCCTTGCCCAAGGGCCACAAAGCTGAGGTGCTTTCCTGCAAAGAGAAGCAGGGGAAGAAAGAGCTGAAAGAGGCCAGAAGCACTGAGGAAACGCTGGTTCCTTCTTCCATTCTCCCGGGGAAGAAGAAGAGGTCTGTCACGGCAGGGAGCTCCCCTGTGGCTTGTCTACATGCCACTGCAGACGCAGTAAAAAAGGGCAATCTGGAATGGAAAGGATGACGCACAGGTGAGGAAGCCTGCTTTAGAGGTGGGAGTTGGAGGCATTGCCTTTTGAGTTAGCAGAAGTCAAGCAAACACGTAACGCTCCCACAGCCTGACCTGACAATACAACCATTCCTCCCATTCACAGATCAAACACTGATTAAATCTGTGGCACATGCGCAGGATTTCCATTGTTCGCTGTGCTGTCTGGTGTCTGCTGCCAGCTATGGCAGTGTTTCATGGAGTGGAGGTAAGCGTTTCTCAAGATAACACAAAAATAATAACGATTCACATGGTTGCTTACAAAGCTTTTAAAAACAAGTGTTGTCATGGAAGCACTGCCACACTCAAATGTCCTACAGCCCGAAGAACGTAGCAGCTATCACATCCTGATCAGACAGAGGAAATGCATCAGCGTTTAATATTTTACTATTATTTTAGCACACTGCAAGTCAGGTCAAATGTCTCCTGAGCTGTATGAAAAGCATTCCTACTCACAGGGAGGACACAAATGTAGTTTCAGACCCAACACCACGACAGAGGATACAAAACAGCTTAGGGCAATAGGGAGGAAAGCAAAATGGTGTCTTTTATCCTTTGCCCCCACTCCAAAGCTGCCTCAGTCTTTTATGTTTTCACAGCTTGGGTAGCAAGTTCAGATAGCACGACAGCACAAGGGTCTCAGGTCATGGGGACCTCTGGTGGCACTGGGGATACACGGCTGCCTTTGTCAAACCCTGAAGTGGCAGAGAGAGCCTAAATTCTTGTCTCTGAATAGATGCCAAAAGCCCCATTTGTCCACCACCAAGCTACCAAAACTTCAAGTCCTTCCCTTCCTCAGAATCGGCAGCACAGTTTTCATCTCAGTCAAGAGGAAGATGTGTGGCCCTCTTACAACATGAAAGCTACGTAAATGAAGCTAACACACAAAACAAGAAGCAAAACAAACAAAAACAGAACCTGGCCGTGGGACAAAACATGCTACTCACAGGATGTTGAGCCCTACCTACCACATGTATTTAATTCAGCAAAACCTCTGAATGGCGCATCCTGGCAGCAGTCTGCTTCGAGCTGCTGCTTTGGATACGTCAGTGCTGCTCTGTGGGGGCTGGAGGAACGGGGCTGCCCCGACAGTAGTGCCCCAACCACTCAGGATACCCTACTACACAATCCCGCAGCACCCCAGGATCTCCTGGACATCTCCATGCTACCCACCCACCCATGACCGATTGATGACCTTCAAGGTCCCTTCCAACCCCAGTCATTCTGTGACTCTGACACCCTTCCCTATCAGCTCTTACAGATCTGCCCTAGCATTTACCGGCCTCCCAACTCACCTATTTCTGTGTCCCATAGCTTCCCCCAATATATTTTCCATTGAGGTGTAGGAGAAAAAGGCTGGGGATCTGACTCAGCATCCCAAGTGCTCCAGGTACTCCCCAGCACTCGGGAACATGGGACAGACCAACCTCAAGGTTGGGAAAGGCTCCTGGATCTGGCAGAAGGGTGGAAAGGGTAAAGGGGCACCATGAGGTTGGCAAGAAAGGCCCTTTCTCAGGGCAATGAGTCATGAGACAAGAGAGCTGTTAAATACCACACTCCTAAAAAGCTAAAGCTCCCAACAAGCACTCCAGACAAACACATGCCCTGTGTATGTGAAAGGCTTTCTGAGAAAATCCTCAAAAGACAGCATTTCCAGGACATACAGAAACCAAGCAACCTTAAAGAAAAGGGGACATTTTATCAGGTGACAACAGTTAAGAAGCCATAGCTAGCCCAGCCAGGCTCCGTGACACATAAAGTCAAGCAAAATCAAGAGAGTCCTTCCCCATGAGCTTTCAGGATGACTCCGCCACCAGCAACACCCACGGCGGCACAGGACTCCACAGAACAGCACTTCTTTCCCTGCCAGGCTCTGAACAGCAGCCAGACAGCCAAGCTACAAAGAGCAGCGCAGGGCAGCAGAAGGAGAAAACCCAACGTTATCATCTCCAGATCTAAGCACAAAACGCACTTCTGGGTCTTGCCCATCTTCAGCAAAGAACAGCAATAACCTTTTGAAAACAAGCCCAACCCCACCCATACGCAAAGAAAGAAAAAAAAAAGTCGCCAAAACAATACTCTGAATACAGTACTCTTCCTCTGGGGAAGAAACAAACAGCACGTGATGTGTAATAACATCCTCCAGTGCGCCTCACAGGGAAACAACAGCTCAGGGAAGGGCACAGCAAAAGCTGCTGCCACCACCACTCTATGTCATTAGCAAGGGCACCACCTATTGTCACAATACCTGATGTGTTCCGCCAGCACGTACCACTTTTAATTGCATGTTAATTATTCAGGCTGAAATTTACTGTTTGCCTGTAAAAATAATAATTAAAAAAAATATTACCCTTTAATTTTTGATGGTAACGTTCAAACCATTTCCATAGGGAAGGACAAGTTAGAGTACTCCACCTCTCGTATTGATGAAGGCAGAAGGACTTTCAGAAATCCTCAGAGCACCAACAAGTAGAAGTTTCCCAGCTGTAAGCAGAGAGGAGCTCAGAGGCGGCCCAGCACACAGGGAACTAAAGGCATAACCAAATCAGCAGCTGTCGGATCAGGACAGACTGTTGTAGCCAGGATAGGAACCATGCTGGGTCTCCGTGTCCAGCACTGTGTACAAACACTGCTGTCCTGCCTCCAGAGAGTAGCAGTACCTCCACTTTAAAACACTGCAGTTTGAGAAAATAACCCCCAAGGTGGCCCTTGCTGCCAGAAACAGGAATCAGTAAGTAATGAAAAAAAAAATAACTAGACGTTACTCAGGCTGTGGTATGTAGCTGTGCCTCCGAATCAGCCATGTCAAATCTAAGCTAGCTTCTACCAAGCTTTCATGTTTCCAAACCCTGTTTTCCCTGCTCTTTATCAGTTTTTTAGTTGGGGCTTTGCTGTACAAATGCACACAAACCTGACTTGTTTCTGCAGCGTATCCAAGCTATAAGGCAAAGAAATCATAGGAACAAGTCTGCAGGAGCCAACTCACGTCGAAGTCAGTCCCCAACCAGAGCTACTGAAACCCGCTGGACTCCAGCCAGCACTCCGCTCTCAGGTGTCTGCCCACCCCTGCAGGAACACGATACAGCAATACCCGCACTCGATCTGCACCGAGCAGCCTTGGGAAAAGCTAGGACTGCTAGCTATAAACCCACAGTCACACAGCAATTGCTCTTCCTCAGAATCCATCCAATTATTGCCTCTGACCTAAGGGGTCTCACCAAAGGAGGCCTGCCCAGCACACTTTCCTCCACTGATAAACCATCTTTACAGTGCTCCTACCTGCCCCTCTGACGTACTCTGCCCGCACTCTCCTACACAATAAGCTGGGCCTAAGCAGCTTCTCTTCAGCTACTTCAGGGGAAAAAAAAAAAAAAAAAAAAAAAAAAAAGGAAAAAAAAGAAAGAAAAAAAACAACCTGAAACCATGACCCTCATTTTCAGTAATGTGAGCATTCAGCTCCCACTCACATCACTTAAAATCAGGCCACAAATCTGTTCCTTTTTACGCCTGCAGATGGTTGCTTTCTCTCCCTACAGATGGTATCCCAAAGCCAGGACAAGTGGCTTTCATGCAGAACTCCGAGTCTACTATTTGACAAAATCTGATACGAGCTGAAACGCAGTCTTCCAAGGAGAGACAGAAGGCTACACTTGTGGCAAAAATTCTTTATTAAACTAGATTTTGTAAAGTCCTTTTCACATTAGAAATTCTAAATGCAAATTACAAAATTGTATTTCAGTAAAAAATGAAAGTTATAGTTAACAGCAAAATTACAACTTTATACAAATAAAAAAAATATTTTTTTTAATTTTTAATTTAAAAATAGACATTGATATCTTCCAATGTACTGGTCCTAACAGCTTTTACAACTGGTAGCTGCAATACTAGGTCTTTTCACATGCATATTCACATTGTCATTCAATGCTCAGCAGGGTATTTAGCTGAAATGCCATTGAAATAGTATGATCAGTTGGGTTTCCATTGGAGTTCTTTTTTACTAAAAATATTTTTGTTCAAGAAAAAAGGAAGTAATCATCATACACAGGAACTGTGGTGATGAACACTTGTTTGTCCATGTCCATGCTATATCCTCTCCCTAGCTCTGTGAAGAGAGCAGTATTATTCTAGAAATGCATTCAAAGATATAAGCATGAGCAACAGAGAGCCTATGTATAATTTATCATAGTACATTAGTGATGATCCTGCTTTGCTATTATCAACAACAAAATTGTTTTCTTAAATACCAATCGTATTTTGTGGCAAGATGAAATAACGATTTGGTTACTCTTTACTTCCTCAAGCACAACCTTGTTCAGAGTCCATGTTCGGCCGATCTTTACAAATCTCCCCCGACACCGCATGTGCTCACAACGAGGTTAAACTAGGGCATGTGGACATAGCCTAAACGGGGACTCCCGAGTCTCAATGGTTTCCCACAGCCACAAAAAAAAAAGTTAAACTTTGCCTGAGGTGTCCTTCAACAGGCCTATAAAAACATTAATTTTAAACAAAACTGTTCCACATACTATTAAAAATAGAATCCAAGTTCATCCAAGTATTACCAAGGTATTGTTTAAAAATCACTTTTGCCCCACTGCTTTCATAATTGACTGAAATATATTTTAAACACCCACATTACTTTAGAGAATAACCATCTCCGTTGTACTTGTGAGCTTGCTTTCTCTTCTTTACTGTAGGGTTGTTCATCAAAGCTGGTACTAGCATTAAATTTTGCATGAAAAAAAAATATGAGAGTTTTCCTAAATTAAAAATTGGACTAAACATTAACATGTTTCATAGAAAAAGAAACAAAAAGTCATATATTAAGAGGACAGCAGCCATCACAACCACATGCTGATGAATAATAGATTAAAAAGTGGTACACAATATAGGTATTTGAAAAGTCGCACGTTACTTCAGAGTGCTGGTGGCAATACTACGTGCTACTTTAATTAAAAATAAGATTTTTACATGATATACCTCAGGACTCTCACCAATGCAACTGCAAAAGACATCAGAAAGGCTGGAAGTTCTAAAACGTAGCCTACTTTCAAATACCCTTTTCAAACAACTATATTTGAAATCATTCATCCCACTATAAAATATTCATCCCATTATACAAACAATCAAAGAAATACAAGGATTCCGGTGTGTTTTTATGGACAGTTTGGCAAGTGTTTGAAAGCATGGAGTTCCTGAATAATAAAACCCTACTTTCTCTCTCTCCACTCATCATCTTTCTCCATTCTGCATTCAGCTCAGAACAGTTTCTAAGCACACACTTCAGCTCCCGTGGAAGAAAAAGCCTGAGCTCATCATGTTTTCTCTGAATTGGAACTGCAGTGCCTCATCCCGAGCCACTGAAGCTGAGGGAGGTTTTATCTCCCACTTCAATAAAAGCAAGACTGGTTCTGCTTGTGTTACAGTTTTAAACTATCATCTGACATCAAAATTCAGCCTGTAATCAAACAACTTTTAATTAGGAAAATGACCAACTTATAACCAGGTAAGGCATTCAGAGTACCTCAGTGAACCCATGCCCGTACCCAAAAGGGCAATGGACAGAGGGAGAGAAAGAAGAACTCCAAACTGCTCCTGAGCTATGCACTTCTCTACTGACTCTGACGGATGGGAGAAAACTGCAGTTGGGGTGGAGCTGAGGTTTTGCCTTGAATGTATTTATGCATTTAACCAAATAGGAATAAAGAGAGAAAATAATTATAGGGAGGGCCACTGAAGCTCAGCAGGTACAGCTTCTTTCTAAGAGTCCTAGCCCTCCTCATGAGCCTGTTTATGCACTCCTATAGTTTAATCTCTTTCACCCCCCTTGATCTTGAATTTTTAGCTTGCAGGAGCAGGTTTGACAGAGGCTCAGAAAGCAGCACTTCGATACCCCAACCCCACTGGTTATGGTATTTTCTGGGGAAGTGAGAGTCGAGTGCAATCGCCGTCCCCCTGCTAAGCCAGAAGAAGGTGAAAAGCTGCATTTCTCACCTCCAGGGTAAGCACGTCAACAACTAGGCTATGACGAACAGATGGGCAAGACAACAACTTCTTCTGCTCATCTTTTGAGCTGAAATCTACGCTGTTTTCATCCATGTCAGGAACGATGCGGATGTACTGAGGGAATCAGGCCCCCTCCCAAAACACCAAGAGGCACGGGCACTTCCCCACATACAAGCGCATCACCACAGAGCTTCAGCACCCAGCAGCTCAAGGCGTGACACGTTGGGCACACGTAGGGCCTTTGTCGGGCAGCTCTGCACCCAGGCCAACCAACAGGGTCTGTGCCTCAATGAGCTGCACCTCCATTCATTATAAAAAGTAGCACTAAGGGCACTCTGCTCAGAAGCAGGAGGAAATTTCTTTGTTCAAAAGAATGATCCAATCTCCATTTAAGCAATTCAAAGGTCTGCAGCCCTGGACAGCTGATAAGCTGACCTGCTATCTTGTGACATCTCAGTCCATTTTAGGCACTGTCACAGAAGACACAGCACGGGCCTGATCACACAGGATGTCATGCAGTAGCTTAAACAGCCCTTCTAGAGCTGTTTGGGGGGCCCATACCTTTTGTATTTCAAACACTGCTTGCCAGAGTAGCCCAGCAAGGAGAAAAAGACAAGGGAAACAATTTGGATAAATTAAGTACCCACAAAAACATAAAACTATTACTTACAGCAATCTGTTATTCCAGTAGGAGTTTCTTTGATTAAATACTATTCAAGCTATTCTTGCATTTGAAATCACCATAAAAAGATAACTGTGTCTGTTGAAGCATGACAAACTCATTTTTAGATCTACTGTACATTGTGTTCACTGTGTATATATTACAGCAAATATGGATATTCAAGAAACATCATGTCTTTCAGTTTGTCAGCAACTTGCACAGACACATTTTGAAATGAAACCTGTTTCTGTGCACAGCTTTTCTCACAGAAGTTCCTTGCTTACTACTACCCGTGCACACAAATGGCAGAACTTGCACACACATATGGATTCATATACAAATTCCATGTGCATGTAGTTCCTGGGTAAAATTTTCTAGGGAAGTAATTTTAAAATGAAAGACTCTCCTATTAATCCTTAACCTATTAATATTATTCCTAACACACAACTCGTATCTGTTCTGAAAAAAATAAAAAAGGCTTAAATTAAAAAGTCAAATAGTTTAAAGAATTCTTATGCCTTTTAAGAGGCAAAGATGTAAGTTGTAATGCATTCTAAAAAATATTTCAATGAAAAATCTTTTTTTTCTTATCCAATTGCTTAATGGAAATGCTTGACAAAGTACAAGTGTTTCAGTTTTTTGTTGTTGTTGTTCTTTTTGTTTATCTTTGTTTTTAAACACAGGTATTTTTAAATGCTGATGCAACACCACCGGAGCAACTTTTGTATTCCTAGACTTTCCAGTTAGGCAATTACTACTGCAGTATTAGCATTCATTTTGATGTTAAAAAATACATTTAAAATGCCTCACAGATGAACAAATTTACTACAAGAAAATCACCAATTTCATACACACAGAATGAAGACATCACCATTAGACACCTGTAAAATGAAACAGTACTCATTTTGCTCTATTATAAAAGACATAAAAGTAAGAAACACTTTTCATCCAATAGGTTGTTGTTTGGTTGGGTTTTTTGAGTGTTTTTTTCCGAAATTACAGCATTATTTATGTGTGAGTAGAGATGTAACTACTGTGTTGTATTTTCCCCTTTAATGGATCACAGTAAGTCTGTAAAAAAAAAAAATACTTAACATATAGCTGGTCTTAATGCACAGTCCTCTAAATGTAATTTCCATCAGTGTCAGTAGTAGTTTAGAATGGAGTAAGGACAACAGAACTGGTCAAGCCATCACAAAATGACCACTAAAAATACTAAATCAGACTCTTGAAGAAATCTGGATGTATTTATCACTCAACGGTAACTGGATTTGAAATATCAGTAGTTGCTGAGTTTCCACCTCCTCGTGCTCTTCTGAGGGGTTTAGCACAAAATTCTGCATCATAGAATAAAAGTCCAAGGTACTACGTTTCAAAAGCACAGAATCCACTGCAATTTCAATGGATGAAGGTGAAGAAAGAGTCATAGGCTGGGTATGTTAAGAGTTGTATTTTAAAACTGTACCTTAACTTCCCTTTAAAACATCGTATAATGCTCATCAGAATTTTAATCTGCATTTCTAAGACTCCAAAACCTGTAAAACCTGTCTTCTTTGTGCAGATTCAAAAAGAAAATCCATCTGACATGAAAGTTTTCTTGGAAACATACTGACAAGACCACTTGCCGTAAATTGATACTATTTCTGATAAAAAACCATCCTTTAAAACAGATTACAAAACATTATTGCAGTTGTTCAAAAAGTTGTTAGCTGTAATCCGACATCTCAGTTTCTGTATTCCTCATCTCTTCTTGACAACCCTTCAATTCAGCATGACTTTCAGGCAGCCTGGTTTTATTTCTGTGAACCTGTGAAATGAGAAAAGATGAAGCTTCAAGATGAACACTACGTGCAATGCCATCTCCTGCAGCCCTCATCAAACATATGGAAAGCGATAAGGTTCTCAGTCAAGTATATATGCATGTGGGAGTCAGGAAACCAGCATCGTGTCCTCTGGATGTGACAGCAAAGGAGGATTTTATAAAGGTCTGGAGAAGTAAACAGCTGGAAACACCAGGAACTGGAAGGAAGAGTTTTAAAAAAACAAAAAGGTTGTCCAATATTCTTGGTTATATTAATTCTGCTCCTTTTTCCCTACTCCCTTTTTATCCCCTCTTCTTTCAAAATACATTTTCTCCCTTGTTTTCTGTAGAAAGTGAGAGGGAAGTGGAAAAAAGTCTTTGCTCTGAGTCCCACCTTCACAGTCACCTTCATACACTCCTGTAAAGACAAGGCAGCAAACGCAATGACACCAACCCAGACTTGCTAAACTGCTGTCCCACGTAAGAAGCTGAGAGCTGAAGCATATATTGGAGACCAATAGAAAGCATGGTTAACAACTCCTCACATTAAAGCTAGCAACCTTGAATGGAAAAAATAATTAAGCTATGTTTAGATAACTATAATTCATACTGTTTTCATCTACCACAGAGGAAAGGATCTAAAATTTAATAGGCATTCTTTATTAGATGGTTGTGTCATACAATTGGCACTGGTCTTATGAAACAGCAGACCAGCGTTGATCTGTTTAGTAGTTTAGCAGTACTCTAAAACAGACTTCAATTTCAGTTAGTTAAATGTGGGATAAGAAAAAATGAATCACTAACAAAAATCTAAACTCACCTGAAGTTGTGGCTTGTGAGGTATCTGATAGCTGCTGGTTTGATGCGAGCAACTCCTCCCTGACTATGGCTTCCTCTTCCCGTGATAACACAGAGATAAGGTTTACCACCTGTCTGTTGGTACTCTGTAATAGCAGGGATTGTAACGGTTAAAATTCTCCCTCTGCTGAGACTTGGCATTCAACATAACCTTTACATCCATTTTTCTGAAAACTTTCACCAGTGATCTAGAGCTTTGTTTTCCCATGGTAGCTATGCACCTTCTATATAAAAAGTCGTATTTGCCTTCCTCTGAAAAAGATTCTCTGAAAGAAAAATATAGTCAAGCTTTTTAAAACTAGATTGCTTGCAACATGCATGGTGCAATCATCAGAAAATCCTTCTAATTTCATAGCAACTTTACTGCTTCTATCATCTATTCCTTAGTTGGAACTTGCACCCCATGAGAATATAGTTAAATTGCAAAATTAAAAATAAGAGGGACGTCATACACAAATTTTTAAGTCACAATAATGCATATAAACAAATGAGATTTTAATGGATAAAGGGAAAAAAAGGAAAATATAAATGTCAAAAACTGTGGTTCTAAGTCACACTTATTTGGATAGTAATTTTTGCTATGTTGGAGCATATGAATCAGTAGATCAGCACATCATGAGCTTTATTAGTTTATCTAGCCATGATACAAAATGAAATTGCTCTTAGCCTAGAGATCACATCAGCCTAAATTGATTAAGAAAAAAGAGGAAAAAATATAAATGAAGTTGGATTCTCACAAGCCAAAATTTGTGAGTTCAAGATTATCACTTCACATTGACATCTTTCCTAACCTACTCTCTTTCTCTCTCAACCTTTTAGTGTCAGTTTACTCTTAATTCTGCCAGTGCTAGGTGCCCATATTGATTGACCCCTTTCCCATGTATGTTAAATGAAGATTAATTCTTTTCAAGAACTAGGACTGAACCATGAGCCCCTCCCATCATTCCAAACCTCATGATGTAAGCGTAGCTTCACGAAACTCTAAAAAAGCATTAGATTACAGCTTACAGTATACAAATGTAATTTCAGGAGTAGAACGAGATAATGCAATTTAGTTAGCTCTGACCTATATTAATGGGAAAAAGAATGACTATCTGAGCCCTACCGAACACTAATGCTTCTACTGTGTGGAGTAGCTGTTGTATATTAAGGAAAAGTTTTGTGCAGTGGTACCTTACATGAGAAATATTTCTTACAAAAGCATTCCCAGTGTGCTTAGATTTATAGGGTAAACTAATAATGCAGAAAATGTATCTTTTTACAGCAAGAACACTCATGAATCACCGGAGCACTCATTCCACTGGGAGAAAAAACAAGCCCTCAAGCAAAACTGCAAAAAATGTCATTTATGGAAGCAGCAGCAGTATTCTGATCTCAAGAGATCCTACTGGCAAATGTATGCAACAGTTACTGAAAGACAGCTTAAACCACACAATTTCAAGTAAAACTTGAAGACAATCTAATCATTGTGGTTAGTATTCCAAAATACCAATTTTTCTTTAAAGATTAAAAAAAAGCAAAATAGTTCTGACAAAGCAATGCAAAGACAACACAAATATTTGCATTACCACCTCTGTAAAAATGCCATGAAGGACAGATCAAATCTTCAAAAAATAAATAAATAAATAAATAAAATAAAGAGAGGATAAAACAGAAGCAACAGTAAGATTTACAAAGAAGCAGCAAAGTGCTGGGTATGGAGGTTGGCAGCTTTGAGCAAAAAGAATCATTGCCTTGTCAAGGAAAACAATTTCCATGAAGGAACTTTGAAAATAAAACAACACGGAAGCGAGCTGTTTCCACATAGTACTAGATTACACTCAGACCCTCGGACACTGCCATATATAGTGATTTCTTAGCAGAGAATGAGGAGGATAACTTCTAGGGGACAGGAATTATTAGCTCATTCCTACCTTCACATTTTTCCTGCAGCACTCTGGACAACTGTTTCACAGCTTCATCCACATGGAGCCCATGCAGATCCAACACGTTCAGAGGCAGCAAGGAGGTATTTACTTTCTCAAAGATCTGCGCAGCGGCAGCATGGTTGGCTTCTTTCATCTTCTGCTCGTGAAGGCGACCCTTTATGCAAAAGCACATTGACTATTACACTCCGAGACATAATCTAAACTTCACACTGGTTGTTGGGTTCAAAATGACACTACTGGCAGGGAGCTTTTAGCTCACAGTTTGAAGCAGTGAAATTTATAATCACAACACAATTTCTGGAAGAGGCTCATTGAGACCTACGCACAAGGGGATTTCATGAAATTTGTTTGTTAAGAACTACTCAAAGCTGGCACCAAGAAGAAACTATAAACAAAATCTTCATGAGAAAGGGAAAAAAAAACAACTAGAAGATGTCAGGAGAACATAACATTATTACATAAGCTGAAAATCATCATGAAGTGTAACTTTTTAGATTTATTATCCTAACAATGGCATTTTAGTGTCTGAAAATATTTCACTAAAACTTTAATGAAACAATATCAAAGAAACTGCTTAATTGCCTAGGAAAAACCTGCTGAGTATTATACTTGAGGTTAGTTTTTCTGAACACATTCCCTAAAAATCAGAAAATCAGTCTAGCCAAGTAGAGCAAGCACTTAAGCACTTTCGTTTGTTTTTTTTTTTTGGATAGTTGCCTATTATCTCTCCCAATAATTCTGACACCTTTTATGACAATGTCAGTATAGTCCCTATTGGAATTAGGGGCAAGGAGCAGTACAGGATTATTCACATTACACAGTGAACAAACACCAGCTATTTCCCACGAACCTTGCAGTGATCATATCTGAGAGACTGAAGCAACAAATTATGTCTTTGAAGATCTGTAAGCACAGTTTGAAAGGAAATGCAAGTCTTAACTCCAGGTACTGGACTGACAAGGGCTCAAGAGAACAGAAGTGACAGACTGTCTTACACTTCCTTAAAATGGATCATCTGAAGTACATTAGTGTCAGACCAGAGACACCAGCCCCATAACTCTCACTTGCAGAGGATTCCCAGGACAGGCCAAGGCCACCAAGTATAAAGTACTTTTTCATGAATAAAGGTACTTTAGTTTGCCTTTTTATTACCTAAAAGAAAATACATTATAAATTTCCAGACTGTACTTGTCATTAGGTCTATGAACAAAAGGGAGGACTTGAAATTATATTTTTATTTAAAATCATGCAGAGCTTTGTTCAGAACCTCCCCAAACATCAAGAATATACAGACTGAGAACATTAACAAGATCATTATAAAGACACGAGTATTCAGCATTTCCTACATATACAGTAACAATCCAAACATTTATACCAACCACATGAAAGCTTTTATAAGATAACAAGCAAATTCAAGGAACTTATTGTTTCATTTTTATTCCCTCTTAATGCAACTCATAGATTAGAATTAAATGGTTCTATAATGGAAATTCTTGCCAAATTTTTCTTTTATATGCTATTAGATCAGAGGAAAGCTACAGCCTTCAAAAAGAATTAGAGATTTATAATTTTTAAGAGTGGTCTGAATGATGCATGAATTAAAGTATCTTGTGTGAAGACACAAATAAAAACATGTACAGGAAAGGACAGAATCAGTCTGTACTTACAACAAAGAACATGATCAACAGCAATGATGAAGGGGGGTTGAAATTAGATAATCTTTAAGGTCCCTTCCAACCTGAGCCATTCTATGAACAGGAATCAAACTAGTATATACCAAGAACTGTGCTTGAATCAAGACAAGATAGCTCGTGGTCCAAGGCCACAGTACACAAGACTGATCAGCAGATCTAAACTCCAAAAACGGATGGCAAAAAGCACGGCGTGCCACACCACCTCATACCAACAGGAACACAGGCTGTAGCCATAAAGATATCCAAAACAAGGACACAAAGACAGCAAACAGCACTCCTGTCCAACATTTACAGAGGATGAAATAAGTATAATTCTGAGGGAAAAGATCATATCTTAATATGATTCCTAAAAAGTACAAAAGACGTGTCTAGAAACAGTTCCTCACCAGTTAAGAGGAACCCAAAGGACATTTAAAAGATTCCATAGCTGATGTTCATTGCACTCCATGTAATGCACGAGTGAATTCAGACCACATCAACACAAGTCTTGGTGCTTACAAGCGTGCAGATGTGAGAGTGCTATCTATAAGAAAATGAGCGTATCTCACTAAGCACTTAAATATCATCTTTCATGAGATTTCACACTGAATTTGGTTACAGTAGCTTCCTGTGTCAGCATCATTACTAATGGAAGTGAGTTTCATTTTAAGACGATTCTCAAACTAACCCTTAGGCAACAGTAACTGAGCAAGTTTATCAGCTGCAGTAGGCACAATTTTATCACTTCCAATTTAGCATCTGTCCCTCTAAATTCAGAAAGAAAGCACAACATTTAAGTTTACCTGATGTGCATAAAACGCTGCCACAGACTTCATTCCCATGTGATAGGCTTCCCCAGCCTTTTTCAAGCATTCCTGTCTCTTTTGTTGGTGATGAAAAGCTTCTGCTCTTAAATCATCATATTGTGGATACTCATATTCTTGAAATATTTCACTCAAAACATCATCCTCTTCCTTAGCTTTTTTTGCCTGTAGGAATTTGCAATGTTGAATTTAAGTATGCATTGTAGGGTGTTTTCACTGACATGGCTTTGGATTTATTTGTAATTACTATTAAAAAAACACAGTACCTTCTTCTCACGGTTCTTTGCAGCACTGTAGGAAGAAACACTTTCATTTTGCTGAACACTTTCTTGAGCTATAACTGTTTTTACAGGATCTGCTTCCAGAACACAGTTCAGAAACTGTTCAGTCTGCTCTAAAGAATAGCTGTAAAGTATAATAGGTAAGATTTGTGACTTTTCAAGTATATTAATAGCTGCTACGTTTACTAAAATACATGCTACAGACCTTCATGGAGTGAGAGAAATAAATGCCTATGAAAATAAAGCACTAGAATAGAATTTTCCACCTTACAAAAGGGTTTGTCAACTCACTGTACTGCATTACTGCCATTAATGTACAAGCAGTCTTAGTCGACTGAGATGTCATTAAGGGGCACTTGAATACTGAAAGGACTATGAAATACCAAAGGAAATTGCATCATATCTTAATAAAACACTGGCATCAGTTTAGAAGGAAGCACTGTCTGCTGGGCTGTGTAAGTTACTTTATCTTAAATCTCCTCTGGATGGGGTTAGATAGTACAATCTAGTTTAAAACTAGCTCAGTTCTCTGGAACTGTTATGCAGGAATATCTCTGTGTTAAACTTAACAGAATAGGAGATCAGCTGCCACCAGATTTTCAGTATGCCCTTTCTTCTTCTTTATTCTTCTTGCTGCTCAGTAAGCAGACAAGAGAAAGATTGATCAGAAGTAAAGACAGATTTTGGGAAAGGCAACACTATGAAAAGAATTTAGAATATGAAAAACAGTGAAAGAGGTGTAGAGGTGGATAAACAGCTTGCTTTAAACATTCCACAAGGAAAGGTTTTGCTAACAATCTGGACAAGCAGAAAAACTGACAAATAGGCATGCAAACCCGTATGTCAAGACACACATTCAACTGGCCAAGGATGAAAAAGGAAAGTTTCTCTTGAAAAGAAGTTTAATTCACTGGAACTTCGATTTAAGAAGGTAGTTACACACCCCAAAAATATAATGCAGAACAGAGAAACAGAATACAAGCAGGAAGAGATAAAGAGACGGCTCTTTCCTTCAGAGCTGCTATAGTAACCATGAGACTACTAGCAGCTAACACCAGGTGATAGTTTTCTTCTTAAGCTGGATAGTATCTTCTATACATATACTGTTAAATCCTCTACTAATTTCTCCTACTTTGTTTACACCTTGACTCTAGAGCAAACACACAGTTCCACTGACAGTCCGATGTCAATAACCAGAAACGCTCTTCTGGTAAGTGAAACTGCCTATTCCTCAAAGCAAGAATCGGGTGTACACATGTAGTTTTTATACCCTTTTTTCTTTTAAGACCAGTTTTGCCTTTATTTAAACCTACAAAATGCAAAGTGCTAGTTTGGAAAAAGCCATTAATTAGCTGTACCTTAACTGTTGATAGTTAAGGCAGTAACTCTGCATTACTGAGTACCAGTTTTACAAAGAGCTTTAAAGATTTCTTACTTGTTGTCCTTGAAGACGTCCATTAAGAAATTTTGATTAATCGTTGGAAACATCTCAAAAAGTTGCTTTTCCTTCAGTTTAGCGGCACAGTCTTTTCTAGCCACAGAAGGAACACGTTTCTACCCAGAAGACAAAGAAATAATATTGCAAGCTCATGATTAGAACAAAATCAACCCAATTATACTGCTATTTGTTAGGATTCAAAAAAAACATCCACTCAGTAGTTATGCACCCGTAGCAATGGCAACACTTCAGTATCAGCCTGCCACATTGATCTGATGATAAGAAAGCAAGGACAGGTGAGTTGTATTACACACTGGTGCAGTTCTCTGCAGTCATTTGAAGGGACTTAAAAGGAGAATGTTTAGGAGGAATTTCAGTTTACAAATGCATTCTGCTGCTGGTCTATCGAGTCCAATGCTAAGCTTGTATGAAGTCCATACCTCTCTACTCAGTTAGCTTTGGAAAATGGTACTGAGGGCTTGGGGTTGAAGCAATGTTTTATTAGAAAGTAGATGAAGCAATTTTGTCTTGGTGTAGGTTATTATCTGAAGCTATACTGTAAAAACTATTCACATTTGTGAAGTTAAGTGGAAAAGAACAAATAATTATACCCTACAATAAACTAGGCTGATGATTCCAATACTCAGACTACAAAAAAAAGGGGGGGTGGGGAAATGGCAGAACAAAGCCAAGCTCCAAGAATCCAAATCCATGGACAATACATTACCGTTATCAGTAAGCCACATACATGCAGTTCAAAGAAAGAATCCACAAGCCATTCTTTCAAACTGGTAACATCAGGCCAATAACATCTAGCTTTCTTTAGCAGTAGAAACAAAGCTTTAGAAACAGCTACTTATCAGAGACAATTACAAATAAAAACTCCTGTTCTGAACAATTGCCTTGCAATAGGGGGCAGTGTAATGTATACACCAACCAGTGTATGGGAATTGTGTGGTAAATAAAAACCTAACAAGAATCTATAAAATATTCCTATTTTCTGACAAGTTAGTATAGAAAATTCTTTGAGATTCTCAAATATTTATTTTAATGTCTCATCTGTTAGGAATGTTGTGGGTTCTTCTTGGGAAAAAATATTAAAACAAATTCAATCCATTTCCAAATAAACAAAGCAAGAAGCTAATTTAAAACTTTTTTTGATATTGCTTCTATTAAAAAATGCAGGAAATCATCTCTTTTTAAATGAGCGGTAAAAAAAACAATTCAAACAAATGCAAATGCTAACCTGTATAGTGAAAAGCACCATGATCTGTTTGTGAAACAATCAAAATATTACATTTTAAAATGAGATTTGAAAAATCTACCCAAACAAATGCATGCATCACTGTAATCAGTAACACTAACTGGCATGCATTTATCTCTTGAATTCAGGCTGTAATCAGCAGCACAAAGATGAGTCATCAAATAAGATACTGTTTCATTAACAGTAAGGAACTTATACTGCATAAAAATGGTGATATCCATACCAGGTCTTCTTTCTCCTGTATGGCTATTTCTTCAGATATGATTTGCCTGAGAGAAACTTTCTGAGTCTGAGCATTCCAATGATCCATGAAAGGAAAAATTTCTGATGTTGTTGCTTTTTTAGTCTGTATGTCGTTAGATGAGCTTGAAACCCAGTTCATTTTTTTCTTCTGCATTTTATTGTCCACATTTTGAGATAACAGCATTTCTGAGTCATTCATATCTATTTGCTGAATCAGTGTAGAACCTTCAAAAGCAATAAAAACAAGGTGACAAAACAATTATTAGATTACTTACACAAGAAAAGCCAAAACAATTACAAGTTTTTCATCCTAGGTGTTCTGGTCTTTATTAAAACAGAAAGCAACCTTCCTCTATTTTCCAAAGACTGTCTGATCATCTTCACCTATTTTCTAAAACAAAAGCAAAATCAGATTTCCCAGATTCACCAAATTTTCAAGGACCAAGAATTTCCAAACTGTAAACTACCCTGCACATACATAAACACATGCTTTTACAAGACGATTATCAACATGTATTTACACGTTCACCTGCCTTACTTCTATAACTTGACAGATGCTTAACAATCTGATGTCACATTTCTAGGAATTAATGATAGCAGCACTGTTTGGCCATTCATGTGGGGATTTAGCACCTACATTGCAATCCAAGTCTCCACCCATGCAAGATGAGTGGGATTATATTGTAGAGGAACATTTCTTCACAGGTAGTTGAGTGACTAGAAACTAGATAGTCAGGGACTTTTGTAACAAGGACATACATCTTCCTGCCCTATCCAAATCCTCTAAAACGGGCAGCAATGCGTGCGTGTTGTATGCCTGACCTCTTTCTTTCGCCTTCCTCTGCTAGGAATTCACTAGCTGCAGCTTTTCTTCCCACAGAGATTACAAAAATCCTATCAAACAGCTGTCTTACTCCAGCCAGAGCTTCTCTTTAAATTCTCCCAAGTACACAAAACAATATGTTTTTTCATTTTATCTCCCTGGGATCAGTGGTATCGCTTATAATTCACTTTTTTTTTCCCCTTAAAACTCTGTAAAGGAACGCTAAATAGTACAAAGACCAATACAAAAAAAGGTTAGCTTAACAAATGAATCCATCCTTCACTAGCTGGAGTATTTGCAACCTTACTGAAGTTTTAAAAAATTAAATGCTTTAACAATAGGAATTAAGTACTTTTTACAATGAAAAGAAATACGTGGCATACCTTCTGTAGACAACTTACCTGATTCATCTCTCCTCCGACGCTTCTAAATAAAAACAGGAAAAACATGAACGTTAATAAGCTGAAAAGTTTCATTGTGAAATGCTATGTTTATAAATATTAGCTTCTACATAAGCCTACCTAGCTTCAAAATAATGTTTCACGGTATTTCTCAAATATTAGATTTTCAAAAGAAACATATTTAAGACAATTATTTTACAAGTTAATTTTAAAAGATAGAATTGTATTTCCAAACACGCCAATGGGAGGAACATGCCCTACTGCAAAGATTTTGTAACTTTATTGAAATGAACCAAACAAAAATTGTGCCCAAACGCAGTCCAAGTTTCATACAGATACAGCAGAATGGAGGTTAGAGAACTCTTCTCAATTAATGTACATGGTGATGTTTCATATACACCATAATTCATACAAGAGCTCCTCTTAAATGTCAAAAGGCCAGTAATAATTTTTGTCCAGTGGAATTTTTGATCAATCTTGTACTGAAATTTTACACTATGACCTTTTGTTTTCAAGGATCTCATTTTCATGATGACATACCGGTAACATGCAGTTTCTTCATCCCTTTAACTGTCTTTCAACAGCTCTGATGATTATGGCATACTGATATACTCCACATATTTCACAAAGCACGACTATTTTATCATTGTTCTCACAAAGATATTTACATCTTACAAACGCCTTCAGACCGAGACATTGAGCCAAATGGACTGACATAGCACATCACCATACCATAAGAAATCTACTTACCAGAATAGATTCTTTCCATTTTTCATGAATCACTTTTGCCAAATTCAGATCAATATGAACCACACAATCCTCAACAGTCAGTGATCCTTGCAGAAGAAAGAAAATACACTCATTAAAGCATTCTATAAAAGCTTATCCAAGCAACCAAAGTACAACAGCCTAGTACTTACTAAGTTGAATTCTGGAGGTTTTGCACAACCTGTAATGCCTAAAAAAAAATGTTCAGTAACTGCCAAGTTTTTCTTTAAAAAAAAAAAAAAAGCCACACAGAATCATTATCTAGTGCTCAAAAATTCAGAGTAAGAAAAATGAGTTAATATTATACGTATCTTGCTGAAATATGATAACCTGAACAACTACATTCTTCCTTCTTCATTTTTTCAAGCAGTACCTTCTCTTCCACAGCCACTGTTCACTTAAAACTCCAGTATCATTTGTGAAAACATGACTTCCCCAATTTAATTGCAATCCACATGTAACTGCTTTCAAATAATACAGCATTACTAGCCACTGTACAATAGTATTCATATTCCTCCTTCCAAACTCACAACCTTAGAGAAGCTGCACTATAGGTATCACCTCTAACTCTAAAGGAAACAACAGGAATTATCATGGTATCATCACAATATGTACTTTCCTTAAAATGTCCTTCTAATATTGTTACATTTCCCACCCTTAAAAAAAATAACAGGTCAAGAAGTACACATATGTCAAATAAAAATCTGGGGCAGACATAAAACAAAATAAAACACCTTTCTGCTATCAAAAACAAGTAATTTTTCTTTTTTGGAGGGGGTGGGCATGGAATGCAGGAGAGCAGCCAAACCCACCAACAGACCAGGTATGCAGGGTTTCACATCAAGTAATCTTTCAGAGAACAGAAAAAACTGAGAGAAAATAAATTATCCTCCTCGTGTTTTCCTTCCTTCTCTTTTCTATCAGTCTTTAACTCTTGTATTTTGATGCATGTTCAAACTGCTTATGGCTTTCTTCACCATAGTTTGTTTTTCATTTTGTTTGCATCTCTAAGTATAGCCTTCCTTTATTTTCTCTCTAAACCATTCATCTTCTTCCCCAGTTTAACTGATGACTAAAATCTTTTTTCTCCTTTTTGTTTCCTTAACCAGTCATCATTTGCATCTTCCTCACCATCTTGATAACCCTCCAGTTTGAATATAGGCTCAAAGGCCTGTGGCTCAGAAGGCAAATAAGCCAATATTCTTTTTTTCTGCTTTTGAAGTATGTACAAAAAGACAGTTAGAAAGTAGCACTACTGCATTCATATTTTATGCCATGCTTGCTTCAGTTCCATTTTTAGATCAACAGAAGCAGGCAACAGCATCATGAGGAATTGTGCAAATATATTCCCAAGCAAAAGAAGAAAGATTTTTTTTAGCCAAGATTTTTTTTTTCCATAAAAATATGGAAATGATTATGCCCATACCTGCATCAATGCCAACAGGTCCAAATATTTCTTTCAACTGGAGTGCCAGTTCAGGAGATAATGTTAGTTCTAGGCTATCTATATTGAAGGCTGAAGGTGATACTGATGAAGGACATTGTAACTTGGTTTTATCTTCATCCCTGCACACAGTTTCACTTTCTTCTTTACCATAAATCTCCCTGGTACTCCCCTGCATTTCTTTATCAGTTTCCAGTTCTTTATCACTCTTAGGACCGATCAGAGGTACACGATCTATTTCCAGTAACAAAGCAGTCCCTTCAGCATTCTCCGCATTGCTTTCTGAAGGGTTACTACTTTCACTTTCATTATTTAATTTGGATTTCAAATTGGTAGTTGCATCAAGACCATGAGATGAATCCATGGGTACATATAAACCTGCATCAAGTTCTGAGGCTGAGAGTTTATTTCGCGTTTCTTCAACAGGGCTCGCATGCTCCGTAGTCTGCATTCTTGACATGGTCTGCTCAATGACACCTGCTGCAGAGCTGTCTGCATCATCTCTAGGAGCTTTATCGCTGGAATTTTTCATTTCCACTGAATCGTTCAATGAGATAGCAGCAAATGAGTCAGACACATCAGAATCTGTCACAATTGCCTTAGTATTCCTGCTTTCTGCAACGCTGATTGATGAGTTCTTGACTTCTGAAGGCTCAGAAATATCAACAGTCCCAATGATTTGCTCTGTGTGTTTGCCATTTTTGAGATTCTCATCATAGTTCGTATTTTCCTTGAAATCAAGGTCTGCAACAAGTGGCTCAGCTTCTCTTATTTGAAAGCACTCACTATCAATATCTTTGTGCAATTTTTCATCAGAGTCTAACAGCAGACCTGTGGCCCAGTCTATGTCTTTGTTACATCTTTCATACAGGTCTTTCAGAGCTTCAAATGAAAAAGACTCAAAGAGCTTACACAGCATATTTAGCTTTTCAGACTCATCAATATTGATAAGTTCACTTTCTTCCACAAATGTGCTTTTATCGTACATAACTCGGTAGGGGATCTTTTCCTGAGAACCTGTAGTATTATCCACATCTTTGGGTTTAAAGCCATCTAGTCTGCCATGCAATACTTTGACAGTCTCAGGAAAAAGCATTTTCTTTTCTAATCTCCACAGGAGAGCAAAATCGTGTGATTCAGTTTGTGAATGGCTACTTATTTGTCTACATGAGCCCACATCACGCTTCTCTTCTGCTGAAGACAACTGTTCCTCTTCTTTTGGATGGGGCAAATTGTTGTTTGTAAAAGTGAGGGCTAATTTGTGATGTTTCCTTGTTCTCTTACTTTGCTGGGTTTTCTTCTCACCAACTGTTTCACTAGCTACTGTTTCAGGTTGGTGAACCTGCAACCCTTTTGTATCTTCTTGTTCTGCAGTGTTCACAGGTGTCCCACGAAGCACATCTAAAGTCTCAAGAGCATTTTTATTAACATCACCTTCAGTACTTCTACCTTCATCAGACTGATTTAGACTTGTCTTTCTCACTCTCCTTGGCCTCTGTTGTCTCTGTTCTAATGAGCTGGAGACAGGCCAATGTCCTAACATTTGCAGTTCTGGTACAACTTTATCTGAACAGCTAGAGGATGAATTTTCTTCCCCCTGTCCTTTTTCAACAGTACAGGTATCAGGTAGGCCTGCTTGCTCTTTACTTAATTCAGGATTGGGAGTTTTACCTTCACTATCATTCTTTAGAGAAGACTTTTCTAGTTTTCTAGCTCTTTTGACTCTCTGTCCCATTGTTTGTTGTACAGGCCAGTCACCCAGAAAGTTTAGTAGCTCTGGTTTCCTTGATGTGTCCAGAGCTGAGCTGCTTGGTTCCACTGTGTTACTGCTCTGTGTTGATTCTGGTTCCATACATTTTTCACTGCATTGTTCAGTTTCAGCCTGAACTTTGAGAATGTTGTTATCGCTGTGTTCCGCAGCTCCTCCTAAGTGTAAGGTCTCTTCAGTTGCGGTCACCTCAACCTCATCCACTTCTGTTTCAGTAATTCTTTCCATTCCTTCTCCCTTTTCTTCGTGTTTCTCCAAGGGCAGTTCTTTTTCTACACAGCCTGACAAATCAACATCCAAGTCACCTTGAACAGTGCTGTTCTCAGTACTGTGTTCCACGGAGTTATTTTCTGTTTTGTTTTCCTCTTTCTGAAAATGTTCAGGAGTACAGCTACTTTCTAAAGTTAGAGAAGAACCAGAAACATGTTTATCATCTTCAGGTGATTCAAGAGGCACGGGATCAGAAGCAAATGTTTTTTCTTCCTTTATACCAGAATGCTCCTCTCTCTCTCTGAAAGACAAAATGCAATAAAAGATAAACCCATTTCAGACTTTCTTTAAGCCCCTGTTCTTGTTCACATTTTTAATTTTGTCTTGGCTATTTAGTATTGTAAAAGTTACAGATCATAATCCACCCTTTACGACACACTATAATCATGCAGCTGAAAAACCTTAGCGAGAGGAAAACAAATTTAAGATGACAACACAAACTTCAACATGCTGTTATAAAAAGTAATGAGCTAGGCAAAGCAGAACTTTCTTTGGTAAGTAACCCTATTTTAGTTCAGCAAGGGACTAAGAATACTTTCCTAAGAGTCTATCTTTCCCCATTCCCATCATTCACTTATGTACTGGAACACTCTGTTGCCACAAATTTCCTCCTGCACAGCCACAAAGGTGGTAACTTTTTCTGTTTAATGACTGCTTCTCCCTTCTGATTGCTAGATGCTAAGCAAAAGAGTCCAGAAATTAACTAGGAAGGGTCCTGCCATTTCACATCACTCTGCTTTTCACAATCAACTACATTCCATTCGTTATCAGTCCCTACTTAATTTCAAATATATTAAGCATGGAACAAACAACCTACATAAGAACGCACAGGAAATCAGATTTTATTGATGCATATAGAGCTTTATTCAGATTAGCCACTACAAAATTATCTATGTTGGGTGTGTGTACCCAACAGAAATCTAGACTATTCTACATTATGCATATTCAAGAGCAAGTAGCTAACTCCTACTATTATATGAATGTCATCTTATATCAGCGCACAGACTCAGGAATAGTAATTTGCTCATATTTGATGCTGCATTTTTGTGAAAAGCATTTTATGGACTTAAGTGTTATACATACAACAGCACATATCTATCAGGTAAGGTATATCCCTTGACTGCTCATTTCTAGCAGTCCTGTAATCCCTAAAAACTAAGAAAACTTTGTAGTTTGTTTCTTTGTTATTATTTCATTAATGTTTGAAACATGTTCAGTGTTCAACAGCACTACCCAGGTTCCACTACTATAAAGTTTGATTCTTTAGCCTTTTTTTTTTTTTTTTTTGATACTACAAGGCTAGGAAAATAATCTAACCTATTACTCTCCTCCTGACAAGGAGGATCTTCACTCCAGGCAGCAACTTCTGATTTGTCTGGGACTGAAGAATCCAAGATTGATCTAATACTAAGGCAACGTTCATACCGCTCCAACATTCTCTTGATCTTTTCTTTAGATACACCATGAATATTCCGCCTATGAATTAAAAAAAATATTTTTATTCAGATTTGCATATTAGAACAGACTAAGAGAAGAGCATAATTGATGGTTACAGCAAGACTAACCAGAGAACTCATAAGGACACAGCAAAAGCTGAAATAGAAATTCATTCCATATCAGTGCACCAAAGTATTCAAAACAGGGAGTCTCAGACAAATTACTGCTCTGTTTGACTTCACCCTGTCTGGCTGCCCTGCTCTGCAAGATGTTTTGTTTAGTACTGAAATCTAAAACTGCACCAATAATGTGTTGTCTTCAAATAAGCATCAGAAACACACCACGTCAGATCCAGACAGTGATACAGGAAGTCGAAGTGGATGATTCCAGAGTTCAGTCTTTCTTCTCTGGCTTTCATAAGGTAACAACTCGTTGAGTCTTGAGAAAAGCTTACTTGCATATTATTCTAGACATTTTTTGGGTATCCAGAATTTCCAGTGGCTCTGTTAAACACCAACGCAGCAATTATACCTAGAACAAGTGAAACCTGCCAAGGATGGCAAAACAGGTACAGGAGAAAATACCAACTGATCTCTAGTAAAAGAAAGTAGGACTTTCCTCCCTCCTACCTAACCACAGTTTATTCCAAAATGACTCCTGTTTGCTCCTGCTTTCTGAAAAAGAAGTCTGCATGGGCCAGGAACTGGTATTTATGCTTAAAGTTGTCCAACAACCTATGGGTGTTTGGTTACTAAACCATCTGAGCTCCTCTCAGTTCATTCAGAGACATCACAATGATGTCTAGGCTTGGTATCAAGAAGCTCCTGCTCCTTAAAAAGTTAACGTAGCGTCACAGTCAACGAGACACAGGTAGTCATTGGTTTCTGCTGGGTTTTCTCACATTTAAGTTGTATGTTAGGTAAGAAAATAATCTACCTTACCTCCCTTGAAAAGTGGCCAACCTTAAGATAAGCATGCAAATTCAGATGACAATATATATTATGAAATCACAGAATAATTTAATGTGAAAGGGACCTCTGGAGAACATGCAGCACAACCCCCTACTCAGAAGGTACAGCTAGGCCAGGCTGTCAAGTTTTCAATGTACCCGGTGACTGAATGTCCACAAACTCTGGGCAACCTCCTTCAGTGCCCAACCACCTTTTTTATTTTATGTAATCAAAGTTTCACAAGATCCAACTTGTTTATGTTTTATCCTATCCCTGCACCATTCTCAGAAGAGATCCTTTTAGTCTTATCTGTAACCTCCCAACAGGTAGCAGAAGGCAGCAATACAATCCCTCCTAAACATTTCTTCTTAAGGCTAAATAAACTGTTCTTGCCCAATTCAGCATCATCTGCAAAGCTCCTGTAGGCACAGTCTGTCCCAACATCCAAGTCATAAAAAGGACATTAAATAGCAATGGCCCTAGTATTGATCCTAGAAGGACATCAGCCACTTCTTGGACTTTGAACAACTGATCACACCTTTTGAACTTACCAATATATTGGTTGGATATATATCCAACCAATATATTTTTAAGATACCTTATTATCCACTGACACAGAGCTAAATAGGCAAGACAAACCGTAAGTAACAGGACCGTGTAGAGGTCCTGTTAAATATACAGGGGCTGATACAGAGGGTTTTGTCCCTCTGAGGCCACAAGGTGCTGACGGTCTTAATCCACATGGCAGCAAAGACATTCCAAGTAAGACAACAGACCATCCAGGTGCAAAACCAGTCCCAACCTAAGATCATTTTTGCAACTTCAGGAACCCAAAGGAGCAATCACTGCTCTTTGATGCAAAAGAACTTCAATCATTGAAATGTTACACAGTATTGCTGCTAGTATCTTTTGTATTAATTAAAACAAAGTGACAGAATTACATATACATATATATAAATATATAATGTATATAAAATCCAACAGAGGTTACTATTGTATGAAAAATTAAAGTCTACTTATTATTGAAAAATAAAGTCATAGTCAGACTATGAGAAGTATTCAATAGAAAATGAAATTTTCCTTTACATTCTTACTTTTCAAGTTCTTTTGGTTTAAACTTCCACCAAGTGTCTGGTTCGCGGAACATGACTTTGTATTTGAACTGCTGAGCCTGAATAAAACAAATATAAAACGGAACAAAAACACATCATCCATCTACAAAAAATGTACATGCATAGGCTGCTTCTTTAAAGCTGTTTTTTTTTTATATTTTTCAAAACCAATTAAATATCTGGAATAATGCATTTTCTTTCACTGTTTCAATTCTAATTATATAAATGGAGATTTTTAAATTAAGTTTGTGCCATTATCCCAATTAAAAAAAAAAAAAACATCTCTATTTGATATAATCCCTTTAATGTTCTACCTCCTCTGAGTCAGAGCAGACTCAAGAGCACAGAGCATCGCCTCTCTCCAGGTGTGGTATGCATGTGTCTACACAGCCTCTTATACAGAAAAGCTCAATGCTTACACGCAGACATTCAGAGCTGGCCAGATCCAAGCTGGTTCCAAACAGGCAATTCAGCTCTACTAACACAGCTAGAGTGGACAGCCTTCCTGACAGCCTGGAAACCTGAGCAGGCAGCAAGTAAATGGCCCTTATAATCTGCACTACTGATGCGAGTAGACCATACATTTTTAAAAAGTAGCTTGTATTTTTCCTCATAATATAGAAGAGGAAAATAATCCAATTTTCCACACAAAAATATATTTTTGCGTTTAAGTACAAAACACTCGGATTTGTCACCTGGAAACCAGGCCAGTTCAACACGCAGGCATACAAACAACACAGCACTGGGTAATATCATTCCATATAGCACTTGACTCCAGACTTCCCTGCGATACAAGAGCTAGACTGAGGAAGATACTCTGATTTTAAAACATGTTGACATAAAGGTCAGTAATCCCTTTTTGTATCCATGAAATTATGATACTAACCAATGTAACATAGGGCTTCATCTCCCATGCTTGTATGTTTGTGTTGTCTATTATTATAGGAGAGATTCTCCTTTCAAATGCTTCTTTGGCTGAAAGACAGGTGTATAAATGAATGTGATATGGTTAATTTTGTGATAATAGCATGGACATGTAACACTTATACTTCTCTAAATCCATAATAATTTTTTAATAGATAATCCACAATGATTAACCACTGAGTAAACTCTTGCCACAACTTGTTCTCTCTGTTCCAAGGCCCTCTTATTTTAGAAATTCCCCCCCATACGTAAAGCTACTGAGATGACATTATTCTTTTGAATTAATAAATGCATGATAATCAAGGAATGAAAATGCAGATGTAAAATGTGGCAAGATGACTAATCAATCAATAAATCAAACTAAAAAAAACTACATGATCACCTTAAAGTGGACTTCTTTGTTGCATACAAAATTCTTGGCTTTATAACAGTCTTAAGAATAGTCCACTCTGTAAACTGTATAAAATACGAAAAATCAAAAGAATTATTGTAATTTTTAATACATAGTCATAAAATGTTTAGAATTACTAGCTTTGAGATACAGCACCATGTTTCTGTAGCTATGTTACAATGAGCCTGAACAACCAAAGTTATCAATGAATCATGTTTCTTATTAATCCATTTTTCTACAGGTTAGAAATTTGACAGTAGAAAAGTGATCATGATTCAAATTTAGCAAACATATGCTTTAAGAGCTGTTTCTATGGAGAGCTTAGTGGGAGCCTCTATCACAAAATACACTGATTATGGAAAAATATTATTGTTTCTGTCTTGATCTTACAAATGTTATAAATTTGCCAACATTTTAATGCTCGAGAGAAAAAAATAACCACGAGCAGGAAAATATCTGTGTAGGTGTTTTATTTGTATCAACGTTCTCATTATTTATTGTATATGGATAAATAATTATTCAGCTTAATATCAGAAAAAAATATTGCTAGGAGATAGCACTGGTCACCACTCCAGGGGGATACAACCCAAGATACATACCACGATGAAATTTGAGGACAAAATCTTTTGACAAAACTGGTGCTCTCGATTGCAAAACACACAATGAACAGGTGATTTCTGAGTTTTTGCTCGTACTCTTTTTCTACACACATTCAAAACTAATTGCAAGATGGGAAAAATGCTGATCCTGTGGCACAAGCATTACAAGACAGGCAGCTTCTTCAACAGTACACAAGCACTGAAGTGTAAACAAGCAAGCTAGTCCCTTATTTATTCCTCACCTCGTTTCCTGTTCCAGTCATGTGCTTCCCCTAAGCAATCAGGATCATAATGGTATTGTCCATGTTTATAAAAGTAATCATCACTACTAAGAATGACTCCACCTGGATTATCCTCCAGCAAAGTCCTGTGAAAGATCAAGAAGTAAGTAGTTTTTCCCCTTCTCCTGCCCAGCCCTGCTGTTTACTAACATAAAAATCTTCAGTCTCTTGTCCAAAAGCAGCATGGCTGATTATTTGGAACATAAGCAGCAAATTCAGGTAAAGGATGAATCATCCTCCAAGCAAAGATGAACTATAATAATTTCCCTCCTTTTGCAAATGCTGTGTATATCTAGGGAAAACAGCTGATAGTTTCCCTGCAAGTCTCACTCCAAGAAATCAGAGAAATATTTTTCCATCTTTATCTAGTGACATACATTCATACTGCCAGACAAACATGCAGTTTTAATTGCACCAAGTATGTCAGATGCCAGCCAAAGGACTCTATGTGTCATCTAGGCTTTCGGAGAGTTAGAAAAGAAATCACCCTGAGACACTCAACACATACTACTTGCACAAATTTTCTCAAAAGAATTCCAACAGTGGGAGGGAAATTTCTACCTATTGTATTTCCAACAATGTTATTGGAAGGAAATACATGAAATTATTAGGGATTAGACAAACACAGTAGAGCTAAATACTACTGTGATGATTTACTCTGCTGGCGTAACTCTATTCTGGACCTCAGGCCAGTGAGAGACATTAAAACATACCCCTCCTATTTTTATTTTCACCAGAGATCAAGAAGCTGGAAGTGACTCTGTTCTCTCCAATTGTTATTACTCATGATGCTGTACATACAGCAGGACAATTAAGGTTTAATCATAACTATTTAAAAATGTCAGAAAATAGTCTTTGCCTGCACTAAATCCTGTAGACAACTAAGCAACTTCTTTTATAAGCTCACAATATAGATGTTCTACCTTGCCAAATATGATTTTCCTGATCCTGGAACACCTCTGAGAAGAACAAGTACTTGACCTATAAGGTGCATCTTTTTTCTCATCATGTGACAAACAGGTGGTTGCTGTGCTTGCGAGAGGTTCAATTTTGAGTTTCTATCTTGATTTCCCCATACCTTCAGAGAAGGATTGCTATCCCAGGCATTTGAAACCGCTGGAGAAGAAAAAAAAAGTCCTTCTTCCAAATTCCTATAGTCTGAAATAGGCCTCCACTGCCCTGGACTGGCAGCCACAGGAGTTACAAAGCTGTGGTTTCCACTGGAAGGATAAAACGCAGGAGCCATGAGGTTCCACTGTTGCTGAGTTTGACATGACGGCATAGAAAAGTTTGAGTTATAACCCTGCTGAGATTGCTCAAAATCTACAAGTTTTGGTGTTTTGAAACTGGATCTTTCAAGAGATGCCTCTGGAAGAGAAGCGCTCTGGTGGCTGTTACAGGCAGTCATTACCTTTCTGTCCTGTTCCATGCACTTTGAATTAGGGTTTTCATTGACAGCTGCTCCAAGTTCCAGAGGTCTTTGGGAGGACTCACCAGAAGCAGCAGTTTCACTTTTATGATCTGGAACAGTATCTTGTGCCTGATCAGAATTTCCACATGACATTTCTCCACTTGATTTTTTACAGGCTTCTGAAGCTACATCATGGTGAACATGCATTTCTGACCAACCAGAATCTTCCAATACTTGTGCAACAGTGTCTGATGCAGCTGGGGAGCTTGTCTGGATGCTCAGTTGGCTCACTGGTGGCTGAGAACAGCAAAGGTTTTCTAAAACCTCATCATTTGTCCCTATTTGCTGTGGGAAATGTAGGACATTGCAACCTGAATCAGATTCTTCCCACTGAGGAAATTCATTAAAGCCATCGTGTTCACATACAATTTGGTCATTTACAGAATTAGGCAATTCATCACTCAAGCTGTATCTCTGAAAGGCATTTTCTATTAAGGAATCCAGTTCTTCGGTCAGCTGCACATCAGGCGATAAGACCTTTTCTTTTTCTTCTTCAGAATTACTGTGTTCTGCAGTACTTCCCCCTGTTCTTTGATTTGCAACAGATCTTTGCTGATTAACAAGAGCTAGTGATGATACTACTGTATCAAAACCTGAGATTTTTGAAGATACTGCTCCCTCGGCATGAGTAGACAGCTCTAGCAGATAATCCATAGCATTTTCTACTGTTGAATAAAGAAAATAAAGCATGGTCAACCGGAGCAACACAAGCTGATGCGAATGTAGTTTTTTACTTCAGGAAGTATTCATAATAACTAAGACAACCAACGGAAAGTTCACCAATTCATCTATTGACATATCTTTTGCAACTCTCTTGACCTGTATCTCTTTAGAGGTAAAAGACAGAACTGAAAATAGACATATTGCAAAATAGTAACATAATAAGCATTAAAATAACTAAGGAAATAGTGTCTAAAAATGACTATGTTTAACTGGAAAAAAAGCAAGTAAGTCAGAGCTGGATGTTTAAATGGATCCTTATTTCTAACCTACATGGTACAAGTGAAATAGTGTGAAATGAACTGAAAGACACTATTGAGAGCTAAATAGATACAAGTATAAAAATTGCTTTCGTTATGGCTAGGCCCAAGTGAAAATGTCACAACTAATAGCTTGAAAAATCCAGCATCCACATTGAATCTTTGGAAAGCCACTAAATGGCGCATAGGTTACTTGTGATTAACGTTAACAAAAATGAAAACCTGGCACAAGTAGCATAAAATTAAAACTAAGCCTCTATTTTTCTGAAGTACAATGTAGCAACAAGTCCGTTCAAGTCCAACTCTCTCTGCACACAGAAGTACATCTTATATAAAACCTTCCTTGTCCTTTTATCTTCTCTGCTATATGAGAGCAACTTACTGTTACTCATACAAAAAAGATATATATATATTCTATTTTTTCAATTTTTAAACTGAACCTAAGCATGTAAATCTTATTACACAAAAGCATGAATCAATAACTACACCAAATCCACTTTTCAAGGAAAAGCGATCATAGCAACAAATATTAAGTTGACCTATTAAGTTATAAATTCTGTACAATTCAGGTAACAAAAACAGAAATAAAAGCAGCCCTTTTAATGGTTAAATTTCACACACATGAAGAATGCCAACCTCTACCTTCTTTGCAAATATTCTTAGAAAAAAATCAGCTAATCACATCTGACCATATGAACAGAGCTTGATTAATATGTTCCAAGCAATAGTTATTCCCTGCCCAAACAACTCAGATGTTGCTGCTTAAACTGTACCACCATCTTTCAAAGCATACTGCTACTGCAAATTACCAGTCTCAGAGATACACTGTCAAACGTGGAGAATTGTGTATGCAAAGAGCTAGAAAATTTCAAAATATTATGACTCACCTACTCGTTAAAAACTAGACTCACAAATATACTTGCAACACCCACACCAACTTTTTTGGTGTTGCCCTACTTAAGAACTGTCTGTACATGGAACAAAACTGTAACGCCAACTGTATTTTATTTACCTTTAAAATCACATTCAGACAGAACCATATAAACCACACTAGGATCCAAGTCAGAAAACATTTCTGACATGCTGTTGAAGAGCTCTTCCTTATTGACACTGTATGCTGCTTGTGACACTGAGAGGCTTGGGTCCCCTTGAAATACAGCAGTTCCATTCCTCCGAGAGGGACTTCCACCCGTTTTCCTTCTCCGTGGCATTTTGTTTTCCAAAATCAGCTTGCTTTTTGTTTTGTTCACATGAGGTCAATGGTAACAAACTTAGAAGTCACAAGAAACCTCTCATAACCAGGATGTACACAACAAGAAGAGCAGACCTGGAAAGAAGAGAATCAACAACTTTTAATATGGTTGTGTTTTCATGTCCCCTGTTAAGAAAGCTAAAAGATAAAAAATACACAAGCATCCAGAAATGCATTTTCCAGAAGGATGCCTTTCTTCTTTAGACACCCTTAGTTCGAATTAGATAGCTATCCAATCTTTGTCTGGAAGACAGGACAAATAAAATTGAGTTTAAAAGAAAAATCCAGAAAAGGGAGGCAATGCAAGGCAGACAGCTCATAAGGACTCCTCTGCTAACACCTACTGATGACCAGTTAACGTTATAGGAAGTTTACATTCTGTTAAAAACTCAGAGCCTTTGCTTCTCTTAAAAACTATTGGAAAACATAGCAAACACTTCCAAATCTTCCACAAGTCCTTCCAAACATGACTATCCTTTTCCACGTTGGGTATTTTAAGAGTAAACAGTTGATTTTCTTCAGTATTCAGACACCAGAAAACAGAGTTGCCGTCTCTGGAGATCTTCAAAACCTGCCTGGGCTGAGTAACCAGCTCTAGGTGACGCTGCCAGAGCAGGTGGGTTGAACCAGATGACGTCCAGAGCTGCCTTCCAACCGCAGCAATTTTACGTTGCTTTTTTGTTGGTGTTGCTGCTTTTAACTTTTCGAAACATTTTGCAGCTTTATGAGCCATGCAGTGAGAAGAGGCTCCTGTCCTCCTCCCCCACTTCTTCCATGAAACCTTCGAATGCTTCTAGTTAAAACATGATGGCATTGATAATAACTGCAATTACTGCACTAATCCTGTGTAGAAGAGGAAAGCAACTCTTAATTGAAATCCAGGCAGAGAGTATAGTGTGATCTCAGTTCTTCCTTTATGTCAAATAACATTAAAGCTTTGTTGTGTTCCAGCAAAGCTCATAACAAACTCATTTATAATGTTTAAGGGGGTTATTCAGTAGAGTGGAAAACCTTGGTACGGCTGAGAATCTGAAGTAAATTACAGCAAAGAATCACTATTTAGTGATAGCTTCCCTACCAGAGAGGTATTTAAAAGGAGGTAAAGTGTTATATAAATTCTTACGACTTGAGAGTGTAAGAAAAACAACTTCAGGATCCCACATGTCTCTACTGTATGTTTATGGACTTCAGCTAGAAAAACTAGATGGATGTCTGAAACAATGAAGAGGAAGTGTGAAAGGCATGACAATACACACAAAAAGGCAGAGGCAGCATTCCAAAAAATAATGGGGAGATGACCCTGGAAGATGCTAGCTAGCCAGACTCAGCTGGGACAATCGCAGATTATTTTTTTTCATTATTCTTTTTGATTTCTCTCTCTCTGATTAGCCATCTTTATACACTGCTCTTTACTGTCACACACACACACAAAAAAAAAAAATCAAACAAAATGATTAGAAAAGAGTCACGGTTATCAAACTTGTTTTTCTGTTTGATTCGTCCTCCAGCCTGTAAAACAGGCTGAGACCTAACTTCACGCAAGGTGTCAGTGCTAAAAAAAATGCTCCCCACTAAAACTGGTTCAGTGACAAAGAAAAGTCCCTGCAAGGGAGAAAGGTATTCATGCGCCTTGACATTACTGCACACCAAGAGACTTTAAGCAGAGCACTCCACGTGTTGTTAATGTTTCATTTCAGCTCCCTTATAATGATCAGTCCTGCTGAAAATCATGCTCTTTAGCTAGGACTTCTAACAACCAATTCCCTCACTTCACTGTAGGATATTGCCTTCCCAACACACAGTCTGCATTAAGCTGTGTGTCACACTATCTAGCAGGATGCCTTACTCTTATGGTCCAACAGAGCCCCACGCTTCAGTCTGCATCGATCTAAATCGGAAAAAAAATGCTTTTGAGAATTAATCACATACTTCCCATCACCTTCAACTGTTGTTCCAACAATAATAATACTTTTTCCCTTTGTCAATACGCTACAAAGAATGCTGTGTTTCATAGGAAGAGATTTTGTTTGCATGAGCTAGGATCATAATCCTTGCATTTACAGTAAGCTGCTGGTGCCATGGTCCAGAGATCTCAAAAACCTTTTCAAAGTAATATTACAAATCCTAAATACCATTACAGTGAAATGAGAGAAAGAAAAAAAAAAAAGCTAAAATAAGGTATTATGGACAACATCATGGACAGTATCAGATATTTTGACAGACTCCCCTTCGTTTACCACTGTATTTTCAATGTAATTCCTGGACAGATTCCCAGGCAATATCTCCTGTTGATATTACCAAGCATAATAAAAGTCTACAAGAATAGATGACCGCGCACACACAAAGCCCACTGCACTCCTTACAAAAGGGATGATGCAGCTACACACAACTGGAAGGGAAAATTGTTCACTTGTTTTTAAGAGCATGCCCTGAACTTGCAAAAGGATTTTATCTAAGGACTTGTCTTTTCAGATATTCAAGATTCTTTTTGAAAGCTAAGAAAGGGGAAACAATTTTGAATAACCCAATAGCCAGACTTGCAGGTCAGCTACATTTGTTGGTTCTGGCTAACATTATAAAACAATGTGTAGTTTGCTGTGAATGGGGGCTTTTTTCCCCGAGATGTAAATGCAGTTGTAATACCAGATTGATTTACAAGAGAAGGGCTATGCTGAACACACTGAAGGAGGTTTCCAGACAATCAGCCGGAGGCTGCAATGCACTCGGTGGTTCACTAGGCAGTTCTGGATACCTCCTTCTACACACAGCCAATTAAAGCAAACAGCTGCTTCATTACAGCACTGATGAAAAACAATACTCCTGTGGCAGTCTCAACTTCACCTTTACAAAAAAAAAGAAAAAAAAAAAAAAAAACCACCACTCATGAGCACCTTCTCAACTCACACTTCTTCAGAAATACACATCTCCTGACATCAAGGATCTCCTCTCAAGGTAATCCTGCTACCACAAACATATACAAATCTGCTTCTATGAGAATTACCTTCTTAATTAAGCAATCTTACAAACAAAAGAGAGATTAAGACACCAGCATTCTCTACAAAACAAGATGTGCAAACCCTAGAGAGATGCTGTAGACCTGTCAGGGTGCTTTAATATCATCATCTTTCTAGATGTCCAGAATTTATTTTTAATCACGGATTATGAGCCTCTGATGTTGCCTGTTTCAGTACCTCTACCCCTAAGGAGCTGGGTAGATGCATGAGACATTTTCAAGCACAGATACACACAGCCAAAGATCAGCAGCCACCAACAGGCAAACCAGTCACTACAAACACAGGCGAGCACTGATATCATCACCCTAACAAAACACACCTTTTCCTTTTGTCTTACAGGTGGAACAACGAAGTGCAGAGAAGTGGCCAACCTTGCACAGCATGGGGATGGACCAAAATGTCAAATCTCAATACCAATGTCCAAGTAGCAATGTTCTTTTCCAGGGAAAGGAAAACCAACAGTTTCTTAAACTAGTTTTAAGAACCTGTTTGTAATTCTCAGTTACATGACCACTGTTTCCAGTAAATACCACTATATAGAAGAGGAAAAATATTAAGTTTTTTTTTTTTTCCTCTCCATTTTTTTTTTCACTCTCACGCTAAAATTGATAAACTAAGTATTGAAGTCTTAGGAAAATACCTAAGAAAGTTCTTCCACAAAGCACAGAGTGAATTGAAATCACTGTAACCACAGCAAAGGGAATTCCCTTGCAGACATGTTCCACAAGGTTCCATTTTATTTTCGTTAATGCAATCGTCCCTAGAAAAAAATAACCCAAACTATCAGAAATACAACAGTCATCCGGGCCAGACTCCTCATATTGGGAAGGAACGGGGATGACAACTAGACATGTTTACAACATACTGTTTTTAACTCTAGTAGGCATTAGAAGAGATTAAATAAACAAAGAGCTAAGTTAAACTAATACCAGAGCAGCCTTCCTGATATAAAATGAGGAAAGAGAAGTTACTTCGTGAAAGACAATGACTGTGAAATGTTTTATGGAAAAAAAACTTAATCATGGCCTTGAGGCCTCCCAGCCTTGTGGTTGCTCCTGCAGAAAGCAGCAATCCAGGAGGGTGAAGCAGCTGGCAATTGCAGGGAAGACACCTGCCTTCCTGCATTGTCAGTACTTTGTTTACAACATCAGGCCAAGTCCAAAACTTAAAATCTTACAGGGACTGCTTGCAGCACAAAATGATCATCACTGCATTTTAAATAAATGTCAATATCAGTGTGCTTAGGGATTCAGCCCGAACTGGCTCAAATAAAGACATTTAAACTCTAGAGCATGAAAGCTTATTAGCACTTTTAGTTTCACATATTAACACATGGGATTTTATCTGCTATGCTAGACACTAAGATTTGTTTCCTGCATTAAAGGTAAATTCCAGCTAAATGGCAACAAAGATATCTGGGAATCACAACATTTAAGTCATTGAAGTCCTTTCCTACAATGCAGCTGAGTGAACAACCTGTAGAACGACTAAGAAAATAGAAACAGTGCTTATACTGAAAATTTTAGAGGTAGATTCATCATAAGCAGACACCTTAGGGTGAAATCCACGTTCCAGCACAGGTAAAGCAAATGGTAACTTCACTTTAAGTTTTCCTTCAAAGATTCAAAATATACTCTCTCTTATGACTCAATCCAAAGAACTCAAAACCCTTAAAACCAGCCAAGGAAAAATCTAAGCAGAAGAAAGTCCCCAAGACCCTTCACAAACAAATATTATTAAAAAAAAAAAAAAAAAAAAAAAAAAAAGGTAAGGTAAGATTTCATTTACGCTAGGAAATAAGTGCTAATATAGACTTGTCCTACAGAAGCTATCAGATTGCTAAGGCTACAAATGCATTTTCTGAAGTAAGTTAAAAGATACAAGTAATTTTTACACGGTAGCTATGTTAAATTTGTTCAGCCAAAGCTCATTTGAATTCCACGGCAAAAGCTAGCAGTTCTTAGAAAGCAGAGGGGAATTTCTATGTACTGTTGAAGAACAGTGTTTTTATAAAATCAAACAAAAGCTATTACAAAACAGTATCAAGCAGCATCTGACTAAAAGTTATGAGAAAGCAAGAGAAGTCTAAGGGTTGAGACTTGCATTACTGTCTAGTTTCCAGTATAATGTGAAAGTAAATACACAATGGCTGAGTAAAGGTCTGAAGGAGGCCTGAGATTTCTCATACTTCTTTTATACCTGGATGTCTTCTTAGAAACCATGCACTGTGACTTCCATTTTCAAGATGTGCCCAAATTCTTCAGAACATCAGACTGACTGCAAGTCATATTATACAGATAATCTCAAGTATAGGAAGTGAAAGAAAAAGGTAGTATTCAACAACCGCCAGAAGACATGCAGTGAAGGAAGAAATATACTAAAGTATTTTAAGTCAGTTAGACAGTGGATACCAAGTTATTTGCAAAGCTCCTTAAATCAGAGATACTGCACTGAGAAACAATCAGCAGTAAATGTAATTTTTCAAAGTCATTACAAGAATTTGTTTTGGAAGCAGATACACCAGAAAAATATTCTAACTGCTGCTCAAAATTTACCAAAATCATTCAGCGGTATGGCTTCTGGTTTGACTGAGATCAAGTTCAAATGACAAATAAGCTATCAATATTACTTCTCTGCCTTTTTTTAAGGCCAAAGGAAACCTCCTGCCTTGACACAGGGCAACTTTCAGCCAAAATGACCAAACCCACCCATTTGTGAATGTTTTAAAAACATACACAAATTTAAAATTTCTCTGATCACTTTAAGGAGGTTAACTCAACACACATAAACAAAGGTTGGCTTTGTTTTCTTATTTCCCCACAAAAATTTAAATTTCAAACTGCACAGAATATTTATCACGCAATGTTCGTTTGAATCTTCTGGCTTTGAAAAAACACACACAGGTACTGACATTCTTAAGAATGAAAAAAAAAAAATTAAATTCGAATCAAATTATACTGCCATAAAAACTTACATTTTCAGCTTCACCGAGTTGCCCCGCAGTGGGTCCCTTCTCATCTTTCCAAAACCACCACTGGTTTCATATTTAATAAAGATTTGGAGTTTTTAAAAAAATATAACAAACTCTTCTGTCAGGAAACCATACTGCCAAATGTACAAATTAGGCATCAGTAGAAGTGGGTGCTCCCTCCTGACAAAGGAATCATCAGAATACAAATTAAAATTGGTATTTTGCTCACAGAGCATGCACCTTTAAGCAGTTTTAACACTGAGCAACACTTTTGTGTGTGTGTGTGTGTGTTTTTTTTTTAATAGATTAAGTATGCCTAGAATTTTACTGGTAAAGTACACAGCATGACAAGTTGAAATATAAGTTGAAATGACAACATGACAAGTTGAAATATAAGTTTTGCCAAGGACAGAAACACCTACTAATTTCAGTTACTAATTTCTTACCCTAACAAAGCTGACTTACATCAGTTAAGGAAATAACATAATGACAGCAGAATGAATTTGGAATAAAAGTAAGTTTCCTTACTTGTCATTCCATTTGGTTCTTCACAACAGTTCTTAACCATCTCGAAAGTGTTTATATATCCATGCTGGTCAAGAAAAGCTTTGTTCCATCACGTGGGGAATTAGGCAACATAAACCTAGTACAACAAAAACAGAATACATTGCTTTTAGATACACTGTTAATTTGCAACGCTCCACCAATGCTAGGTGCTCTTCGAAGCACCTAAAACCTAACGCACTGGGTCCACACTGAAGATGTTAGGTTTATTCAAAGCCTGACTTAATTCCAGTGTACAAATTAGCCTAGGGCACCTAACAGCAGCCAGGTTACCAACCAACCAAACAGCTAAACTACCGATAGAAATTTAAACAAATACTCTGTCATGCTCCTAATACAACAGGTGGATGGCTCAATGACTTTGTAGGAGTCTTTTTAAGAGACTGGGAAACTCACCTCAGCTGCCATTTTGCATTTAACCACACTCCAGTGCTCCAAAGCATTAAGAACTGTCATCAAAACATACACAACACTTCACCTAAGCAACACCTTGACCTTTTTGATCCTTTTTGATCCAAATTTACAAAACAAAGGGCAGGCTGGAGGCAGAGAACACTATTCACCCCACTCTCCAACACCTGGCTTCACCCAATTTGCACTAAAGTACAAAAGCCACTCCAGGAAGGACTGAAAAGCTGTTCAGCAATTTTACAGAACATTGCGGCTCTCATGAAGAGAAATCCATTCTAGAAAGGTAACAGAAAGGCCAAAATGTACCTGATGGCAGTGCGACACTACGTTGTTTCCATTACTCACATTTCCGCTTTCTCTATCGGGTTCCACTAATACATGCACTAAAATGCAAAGGTTACTAAGGTTACTTCCAGATTTGTTCTCTTGCATTTTCTATATTCTTAAGTCTCATAAACGGAGCAAAACAAGTATTTAAGTACAAGCACAAGAGAAAAAAAAGCAGCTAATCAAATCAAACCCAACCACTGTACTCTCTAATCCAGTCTATACAACACGAAACTTTTTATTTCAGATAAAGTTCAGTCCCCTGTCGAAAAACAAGGTAGAAAAGGGATGAATAAAAGGAAATGCCTGCCAGCTTATTTTTCTCTATAAGCCCAGGAGTAGCAAAGGAGACGGTTTGTGAGCCTCCTGCATTCCTTCATTTCTGACAGCAGCCAGTAACAGAACAGGACTCTCCAATACTTCGTTATTTAACGCCAAAATCTATACCCAGCTAGAGACCGAAGTGCTTTTAAAAACACTTAAAACTATCTTTTCTGCTCTCTTCCTTTTCCCACACAGCGTAATTTTCACCACGTGTTCAGAGGGCTTTATCTACTTCAAGTTTTAACTAAGGTCCTCCTTTTCTCAGAAAATTTAGCCACAGTGCAAGACACTGCCTCGTATGTCTTCACACGAGCTGCTCTGCTGGGGCGTCTTCTCTGCTCCTGTGATTTTTGAGCCTTGCACGTGGCCTGCACCACAGACAGGTTCTTCTCAGAAGCTGCATCTTGCTCCGAGTAAGAAACAAAAGTGCTCAACAGGCAATAGAAGCTGTCCAACACCACATCATGCTGTGTCCTTTGAAGCTGGAAAGCGGCTCTTGCCAGAGGCCCACCGAAAGGTGAGCACAAAGGCCAGCTGGGCACAGCAGGACGAGGAGACATGGGACAGGCCCAGCCACCGGCGTGTCCTCCAGCAGCACTTCTGCTTGTTAAGAACAACTGTCTTTATACACCTCTTTCACTGGCATTTCCCCTGCTATCAAGGATTTCTTTATATGAAATTACATTTCTGAGACCTGGCCAAACGACAAGCATTACTTTAGTACTCGGAGAATCAGCAAAAGGGCAGCAGCAAGGGTAAGGACCGGTTCCATCAGGATGAGATGGTGCTGGAAACAAGAAGTACTGCTGAAGATCACAGGTGCTGCTTATTATTATTGGTATATACATGCAGGTGGCCTTACGGAGGAATGGAAAGCAGAACATTTAAAGCATACTTATTTAGAGTTTTCTGTGCTGGCAGCAATCAGAACTGGCAACAAATGCAAATGCCACTTCCCCAAATTTTGACTTGCTTTAGCTATTGATGCAAATGAAGATGGGTTTACTTAGTATTTCTAGTTGCTGCTGGAAAAAGGAAGCAGTTGACAGAGATTCAGATTCCAGAGCACAGGTCTCCAGGCCTATGCAGGCACCTAACAGGGTTTCCACATCACCAGGCCCTGGTGCTTCCACATACAAAGACTTCTCAGCTCCATGACTTTCCCTTCCATCTACTACACAGAAGAAGTCATCACTAGTACCATCCAACCAATTCCCTGCAGCATATTCTCTTGCTACCTGAAGGTCCACTTAAGTCCTTCAAGCCTGTGAGGCAGACAGCGCTGCACTCTGCTGATCCCCCGGTGCCACAGCTGAGTAATGCATACATACAGTTTCCATTGGATACATACATTCCAGTTCTGCAACTCCAAATGAAGGTTTGTTGCACACTGGGATAAAACAGAAGCACAAGAAGTCTTTGGACTTTGGAAACAAAGATACGTTCAGGTTTGAAGAAAGCATTTACAAGAACAGGGCACTGACGAGACCATGGCTGCTGGAGCCTCAGAGCACAAGGTGTGCCGGAACATCAGCCAGATTTATCACCCAAGTGTTATCTGGTAACCAGTAGCCTCACAAAGTAGAGTCCACAACTGGAAGCTGAATAGGGATGTTGGAGAAAAGCACACAACAGTTTATGAAATTTGATGGTGGCCCACGTACAACAGCAACGTGAGTACCACTTCAGAGTAACTTCCCAAACACATCCCACAGTGACATGTAGCACACTTCACAGCGATTCAAGGTGCACAGTGAGATCACAGCTTAAAAAAAAAAAAGAAAGCAAGAAGCCAAACCACATTAGGAAAGCAAGATAGGAATGAGAACAGCTTGTTCACAAAGACATCCTAAACATTTTCTAGACAAGAAATCCAGCCCATCAGGCCTAAGCTGGAAACTACATTACACAGCTCCATCAATACAATTACACCTTCTTCATATGTTCTAGTGTACTTCTATTTCTGGAGGGAGCCACCTGAACACAGCTGAACACAGCACATACACAGCCATTATGCAGCTATTAGAAAGATAAAGACTATTTTCAGCTTAATGTAAACCCACAGATACATGACCTCATCCAGGTACATCAACAACCTCCAAACTCCTGTCACTACTGGAAGCTTACAGCCTCCCAACGACTGTCACTACTCCCTTGGCAGAGACCTAAACCTATGATTTACCTTCAGAAAGTAGTTCATAAGTTCACCTTATATGACTGAAAAACGTCAGCCAATTCAATTTAAATAGTGGGTTGAGCTAACACAGACCATTTTTGAGACGGAACATGGATCAGTTACATAAATCAACCTACCAGTAGATCAAATCCCCAGCAGAGTCATGAGAAGAAGCAGCTAGCAAACTTAGCTTCTTCCACAAGCACAGCTGGATTTAGGAGAAAATATCAGCGTATGGCCGTATTTAATTAAGGGAGGTAGTGTCACTGAAGACTAATTAACACCCTACCGACATTTTTATAGTAGCAGAGCCTCTGTAGTAAATAGGATGGCAGCAACTTCCTAAAACCCAAGAATAATTGAGCATAGAACACTCAAGAAAATTAAAAACCCAAGAATTAGTTAGTTCAGCAACTTTTACCAGCACTAAATTCATGCACAGACAAACTTTATTTAAAAGTAATAAGACTGATTATTTCATCCATTTAGCTACAGATCAGCACGCGGGGAGGAGTCAAAGATGATAGACCATGAAAGGCCAACCCCCCCTAAGTTCCTAGGAATGTATTTACACACAAAGAAAAGCAACAAGAGTGCCTTTTGTAAAACTGACAGGATCACAGCTAAGGACTCACCTACACCATGAAACAAAACAGCTGCAAACAAGCCACGGATGATCCCCAACACCATGCCTAGGCTAACATTTTTGTCATGTACTACTGCACTTTCACACCTGTAACACCAAGAATCTCACTTCCCTCCTACATCAGCGCCTTCCCCAGCTGAAAACCTGCAACATCAAAACAATGGAGAAAGACTCCTTTAAAATTAAAAATAGTATGGAGAAAGCCACAAAAAACAGACCTAAATGTCACAGTTTATTAAGTAAATAAGAACACGCGACAGGAAAAAAGCCTATAAGGAAGAAATTAAAGGATTTTTCAGATGTGCTTTGATGCTGGCTCATCACATGGGTCCAGTCAACAACACGAAGAATTATTGCAACTTGAAAGGGCTGCAAACACATGACCCACACCAGCCCTGCCCTAATGGTGACTGTACCCCATGAATCAGGGCTAGACCTGTTATTACAATTGTATACCACGCTTGTTTTTTTTTCCTGCCCTTTTGCAATTTGCTTCAGGCTTACATCCTGACCTCAGGCTCCCCAATCACATCCTATGACAAAGTATCTTCAGCTTTTATTTGAGCAAAAGGTGAAATGGACGAAGGGATGGAAATCTCAAAAAAACTTTTGGAGGGCTGGATCTTAAGCTCCATATGAATTATTCTCATCTTTTAACTACATGGCCCTACTGAAAGCTCCATTAAACTTGAGGTAGGTGCTCAACTTCGGCAAGGGTTTGTGTCAAAGCGTTTTAAGCACCTCTTAGAGTCAAACTGTTCTGAGTCGTTTAGAACAGGACTTTTAAAAGTAACATGCAGAAAAACAGTACTTTTTTCTCTCGTTTTAACCCGGGCTGCTCTGAATTCCCAGTGACCTTATAGCACTTGGTGCGAAGTACAGACAACGTCCAAAGAACACCTGGGCATACCGTGCTACACAGGACGTGTATTTAATAAGCGCACAATAAACGTGGTCTGGCAGCGTTCAGCACAAGCAGTCCTTCCAAATCCTAAAATCCTTCTTTTGCACGGGGGTGGATTTAACTCATGTAACTCGCCGGGCTCTGCGTTTCGGTGCTGCTTTATGGCCTACGCTGCACGGCACGGGGGGATCCCCTTCCTCCAGCGGCCGGGGCGGCCTCTGCTCTGCCCTGCCCTGCCCTTCCCCGGGTCGGTGTCTCCCCGAGGGGGGCCGGCGGCGCTCGGAGCCCCCGGAGCAGCGGCCGCATCCCGCAGGCGGAGCCGCCGCCATTACCGCTCCGCGGGGCTCTGGCACCGGGCACCCGGCCCCTTCCCCTTCCCCCCGGCAGCGCCGAGCCGCGGCCAGCGGGCGGCTCCCACCTCCTCCTCCTCCTCCTCCTCCTCCTCCTCCCTCCCTGCCTGCCTCCCTCCCGGTCCCGGCCGCCCGGAGCCGGGCCCCCCGCGGCAGCCTCCCCGCTCCCGAAATGGCGGCCGAGCAGCGTTGGCGGCGGGGAGCAGCGCAGCCCCGCGCCCTATCGGCGGCAGGGGGAGGGCGCGGCTCCTCCCCGGCCCCGCCGCTCGGCGCCGGACCCCGGCGGCCCCCGGTTACCTCCCGCCGCTCGGCTCCCTGGCTCCGGCCGGCCGCTGGGGCTGCGGGGCTGCTCGGCGGCGGCGGAGGAGGCAGGGGGAGAGCCGGGGAGGCTCCGGCGGAGCGTGCGGCGCGGGGCCACAGTGCCGCTCTCCGACCGGCCGGGGAAGGGCAGCCGGGAGGAGGCTCCGCGCCGCCCTCCCGCTCCCTCTCCCTCTCCCTCTCCCCCCCGGCCGGCCCTGCCTCCTGCCGGCATCAGGGCTCGTCCTGCTCGTAGCCCTGTCACGGCTATCCCGTGCCCCGCCGCTATGGCCAAACTCACCAAAAACCCTCCCGACAGAGGGCACGGCACCGCCTAGGCCGGCTTACCGAGAGCCGTCGGAGTCTGAAGAGGTTGAGGGTTAAATCTATGATTTAGTAGTGACCGGCGCCTAATTTCTGATTAAAAAGAAAAGCGAATGTTTAGCTGCTGATGCCCGATTTTACTGCGCAGTTTCTAAGGCCGCAGCCTGGCAGGAGGGAGAGGTTCCGCAGGCTGATCCTGGAGGATAAATGGTGTCAAGAAGTTTTTTGTCTGTTTGTTTTTGAGGAAATGGGGGAATCTGGTGGGATCTGGCGTCTGTGACTGCAGTGGAGGAAGGTTTGAGCTGTGGGAGAAGTAGAAGAGAAACTGATGAGAGGTTTTCGTTACCTGCAGCATGCAAAGGATGTTTGGAGGAGATGGACGATGGAAGATTATGGAAAGCTGAAAAAGGAGAGACGTGCTTCTGGCAGACTGATGGTGATGAGCACTGCTTACACTGGAACCGCCATGAAGAGAACTAAGCACCCGAGCTGGAATTTTGGGTGCATCAACAAAAGGGACGAAGCTCTTTAGAGAAACTCAAGACGTTCTACTGGGAAACTCTTCTGTGATTTTATACGAGTTTGATGATCTAAGAAATGTGAGGTTCAACAAACAGCCATTAAGATACAATGGGGAAATCGCTGATGGAGTTTACCTGCTACTGACTGCTAAGAAGGGCGCTCCATTACAGGCCTCAGGCCTCCTGCCTCCCCTCCATACCAGGAGGGGCTCAGCTCCTCCCTGCCCTTTCACTCCGTGCCAAGCCGGGGACAGGTGTTCCTCACGCCCCCCTTTGTCCCTTTCCCACATCTCTTTGTCTCGAGATGCCCCCCACCACCACCCGCATTCAGCTTCTGCCCCCCGTGGCACAATGCCGCCGGGGGAAGCGAGCTGGGGGGGTCCCGCTGTGATTCCCCCAGTGCCCAGGAGCAAGGATTGCTCTCTTCTGAAAGGCGAGACCCATTTCTTCCCGGAGGCAGTAAAGCCGTCTCCCAGCCCCCAGATCACTTGCATTGTGATTCAGCCAATTCAGGGAAGAAGGTGGCATCCCCAAGCCCCATTTGTCCTTTTCCCTTCAAAGAAAAGAACAAGAGGCGGTCTTTAGCAGACTACTTAGGCTAAAGCGCTACTTACGAGCCCCAAATCTCACACGCCTCTCAAGAAAGCCCAAGGGGAGTCACGGCCAGTTTTGTCCCTCGGCTCGTGCTGCCCCGGCGGCTTCCCTTGGGGCCGGAGGTTGTTTCCCCCTGCTGTTACAGCTGTAACTTTACTGTCCATAAAGAAAAAGCAGGCACAAAATTAAGAGAGAGTTTCAAGATGAAATAATTATGTATGGGTAGCTCACTGTGGTTTTCTTGTGAAATCCGCACAAGGGTGCTCAGAGGATCTTCTCTACTGCGTGTGGGGATCACAGCCCCCAGGTGCCATCTGTTTGATAGCACAGCGACTGAAAAGCAAATTAATATTTTGTACGTAGGCTCATGTATATTTTGCAATACAAGTAATGTTTAAAATTGAGAAGAGTATTCAAAACATTTAACGTTTTGGGGATTAGATTGATTTAAGCATTGCTAATTTGCCTGTCAACTTTGCTGTTCCAGTGCTTATCTCCTAGTTATATGGTGTGCGATATTTAAATAAATAAGGACAAACATTTACATTTCTAATACAATACGTATATGCATTCATCCACAGGATGTCCTGTTAAGTTTCAAAAAAGCAGTCACTTGCCACGACTCACAGAAGGAAAATTAAAAGTTATTCAATACCCCGATATTGTAAATGTCCCAAAATACAAAGGAAAACCATCGATCAGTGTTTGTGTGTGTGTGTGTCAAGTGATGATTTCATGCATGTACAAGGAACAGTTTCCTAACTTCATTTGTTCAGTGCCTGGACGAGTATCAGAAACAAAATCTTTTCGCTTTTAAGGGTGTGATGCTGGTAAAGTGTTAATCATACGTTTGGAAAAATAGGTCATGTAAATTCCAGTCTAATGACTGTGCTTTTTATTTTTAAGGTTGCCAAAAAGAGGAAGAGAAGGGGTTTTGGTATGCTCAAGTCTGATAGCCTCCATGAAACTGCCTTGCTCGTGGGGTGTTGCTGCTGGCACTTGATGCATGAAACTATGTTGTTCTTTGCCAGTTGTACATATTACAGTATTTGACACCATGAAAATGCCAGACTAATTTGGGTACTGGCAGATTTCTCACTACCACAGTTAACAGTTTAAACAGGAGGTGGTTTGGTATCTAGATAATTATACTCACTGTAATAGAACTTCTTTCAACTATCTCTGTGCCTTTCTTTGAGTTTTCACACAACTGTTTTTCAAACTTAACGCAGTAATCACTTATTATCCGCTATTGTTTTTCCCATTCCTTTGTCTCCCCTTATGTCTACAGTTGGCTTGTTTTTACTTGGAATGGCTTGAACATACAGCGTGTAATCTGTGCTGTTTGGCACAAGTGTTTAGTCTGGTCTTCACTGGATGCTTTAACAACAGATTTTCCATTTCAGTTTCTACGGTGCTGCCTTCTCCAAGTAAAAATACTGCACTGTGTTCTTGCTTATGTTATAACTCACATTAAAATATTATTACTACCCGATTTGGGCCATAAAAACAAGAAAATGTCAGTCCCTTTCAAAGTTTCTGGTTATATACAGCCTATGACTACTCAGCAAATTGTCACTTCCTTCCATCCATGGTCAAATTGCCTTTGAGAGTATATAGTTAAAAGTGATTAGATTAGATTAGATTTTGGTTTGCATGGACAATTTGCAGCTAGACTTCAGGTTCGAGTAACATTCTTATGTGGTAAGTAAAACATGTCTAACTCTGTCAGCATTAAAGATTTTAATTTTTACTTACAGTAACATTAAATACACAATAATAAGTACTGCAGGGAAACACCTGAGAACTCAGGGTGCGTAAAAATTCACATGTGCCCACAGTATATATAAAACATCTTTCCAGAAACTTACGAACTTACGGCATAATTCTCATCATCATTCATATATATATATATATATATATGGCTATTAATATGTATGAATAGATCTCCAAATTATAGTGTTATTCCCACCCTTGAGAAAGGAGAGATGAAAAAAAAAATCTCATATCTAATTCCCAGAGTAAGCATTTATGTAAAAATTGTTTCGGTCCCTCCATGCTACAAACTGCCCTCTTCCTAAGAATCCTTCCATATTCTGTTGCCACCTTTAGGTTTCATTTACACTGGGGAGAAAAAAAGGTGTTAGCTTATCCTTTTTCTCTTTTCCTGATAGATTTAACTTAATGCTGATTTAAAGATGTTTAACTTGGCCTTGGCTTCTTGGACTGTCTGTGTCTCCAGTTAGTATTACTTTGTCCATGATCTTGGAGTTTGCGTTCCTACAAGAAATAACTCTTCCCTCAGCCAAAATTTGATTTCTCAAGTAGAAATTTAATTCTCCAAGTAAAATTTAAAATGAGAGAGAGAGAGAATGGGGAGAGAAAGAAGCTTTATATAAATAAATGTTTGCAGAATAAGTCACACAGCTGTCTCTTCTCCTCCAGCCCTCTCCAGATTTATATCAAATGCATGGTGAATTACAGTGTTTTATCTCCATAAAGGGACTCCACATCTTACTTCTGTACTTGAAGTACCCTGATCCTCTATTCCATACAGATAATGGCTCCTTAGTTAACCATAGAAATTAACTGTTCAGTTAGAATCACTGCAGTAATGTTAATTTATTCACATATATGTTTGTTTCGTTCCAAATAACACATTTTTCTGCACCTATATTGAAACAACGCATTCATTCCTTTTATACAGGGTCCTATTTCAGCATTATTTTAAGTGAGGAAAAATTAGTATTTAGAAGCAGCAAAAAATTAGATTGTGGGGCAATGTTTGCCCCCCTGAAGACAACGGCAAAAATTCTGCTGGCTTCAATAAGATCAAGATTTTAGGTGAGCAGGTCAGACTAATTCCAGCATTACCACTAATGAATCATGAATTGACAAGTTAGTTAACAAGTCAACACTTGTTCATGATGGGTTCATGTACCCATCAGTAAACTATCAAAGGATTGTATGAGTTTACTGCTGAAAGGTAGTAGTTGTATGAGTTTTCAACTTTGTGTTTAAAAGGCATTCTAAAGCAACAAAAGTTGCTAGTATTCAAGTAAAGTACTTGAACTTTAAAGAGAGATTCTAGATATATTGCAGAACATAAATAAAATTTGCTTATTAGACCTGATAAACATCGCAAGAACATACGAAGTACAAAGATGCTTGGGTTTTTGGAAAGGAGATAGGGAGAGATGATGAAAACAAATGCTGTAATCCAAGAAGTAAAGAATTATACTTAATTGTGTCTTTTCTGCAGGCAAAGAGTGAGATCATACTTGTATGGCCAAAAGAAGCCTCCCTGCCACAAAGACTTTCTGAATTTGGAATAAACTCACGTTTCAGTTTTGATTTGTGATGAATCAGATTCATGTATTGGATGTTCTCTGCTGCGCTGTTTTCATCAATCTGATATGTCAAATTTCATAGATATCAAAAATCCATCCTGATCTGTTGAAACTGGGGAAAGGAAAAACAAGTTATGCTTAATATGCTCCCCTGAAGTATGATAAAAAGTAATAAGCTGGGTGTTATTGAAACTGTCATGTTTTTATCTGTTGGATATTACTGACTTTATTTTGGAAAACTGCATCAATCCTATCCCACAGCAAATTTAATATTTGTGGTCTTAGAGACCAATATATTTAAGACATGGTCTAAGAACAAGGCAAGGAGTAAAACTGTACATTTGTAATATTTAAAAGATCAGACTTCATTTATATCACTGCAATAATTAGACCAAGCATACCTGGGTAAAAGAAAAAAGGAACAATGTTTGACACTTCTGTAACTTTTACCATCCACAACACATGTCCTTAAACAAAAAACATACGAGATCCATTTTCTGCCTTGGTTGGCTGAGCCCACCTCTCAAACACAATGCAACAGCTGTTTCACCACACCATGTAATGCCACAGAACAGGTTAACAGGCGTAAATATGCAATCCAGTTGAAACTGCAGAAACTCTGCAAGCCTAGTGCTGTTATCTGAAATGCAATTAGACCAGGATGTTTACTTACTGTTTTTTACAAAACAATGTGTATGCTGACCAAGAAAGAAGACATTTCTAAGGAACAGTATCCCAGTATCTTCATTCACTGGTAAAGCCAGAGCTGCAAGAACTCTGCCCTGGGACAGGAAATCTCCAGGTCTTCAGCCTGTAAGGAAGCTTCCTTGGGCAGCTGCTGCACCATGGTAGCCAGAGGTGCAGAAGGAATTGCTCTGGTTTGGAACTGGGTTACAATTTTCTACGTGAAAACAGAACTAACATTGTTCAATAAATTTCCAGTATGAAACTTGAGCATTTTATTTTCTTGGGCAGTTGAACTTACTCAGAATCAGGTCCCTAGTGTAAGTCATACCTGCTAAATCCACATCATCCTATGTTGGGACCATGTCTTCACTAAGGAAAATAGGGACAGAGGCAGAAAGGGAAGGAAGCTTTTATCTTTTACCTGGAAAAAATGTACTGTGATGTGTACCAGAGGGTTAAAGTAATTTTATATTCCTACCTGTTTGCCTTTACTCCAATAGCATATAAAAACTACAAACTACCTTGCCCATATTAAGATTTCAGCACACTAAGGTATTATGTATCACCAAAAATAACCATTCTGCTTAGAATAAAGCAGGTGCATTTCCTCAAATATATTACCTCCAAGTTCACTTAATGCGATCAAGTCATTTTGAGATGAAGAATTAAACATTTGAAAAAAAAAATCATTTACCGAAAAAGACAATTTAAAGTTGGCTTTATAAAGCAAAGTTAAAAAGAGCTATCAGTTACTGTTTTCTTTTGATTATGCAATATCTTTTCAACTAAAAATTTGTCTGCTTTTATAGTTTATGTATTTTCGTATTTCATGGTGGTGGATTTTTTTTTGTTGTTTGTTTGTTTGTTCTTTGATGTTAATCCATCCATTTAACCTTACTAAAATCCTGAAAAAATAATCATAAAAACATTTTAGTGACTCTAGATTAAAAAAACAAAAACAAAAACAAAACAGTATTTTCATATTTTCATTCTACTGAAAGTTTGGAGGTACCTACTGTTCTACTGCTCTGATTCAAAGATTTTAAAATATTAATACATTGGACCTTGCTGCAGAATGGAATATCTAAGTAAATCTAATGTTAAGTACAACCCTGAATTTCAGGCAAGTTTCAGTTACTTATTTATTAATGCCACTTGAATGATGAAATGCTTTTACTTGTCAAGAAAGACTCAGCTCCAGGATCTGTACAAATCATTTACCAGAAGTTAATTTCTTGACAATCACTACTCATTTCTAAATCTGTTTGTCTCTCAGTGACTGTCCTTCAACTAATAAGAGATTAAAAAACATATAAAAATCTATTTGCTTTCTTTCAACAAAGTGTTTCTTAGAGGCCTTATCTTCAATTACAGATCTGACCTGGGCCTGCATATTTCACAAAATTTTCTGAGGTTAAAATTCTACATGATATAAGCATATGCTATACATGCTATAGAAGCACAGGCACCTTTCATGTATCCTGTGTGGTGTCAACGTTCCTCAATCACCATTCTTACAAAAAAAAAAAAAAAAAAAAAAAGTCTGGCTACAGCAAACCTTCAACTTAAACTCTATCACGAATATCAGAGAAATATTCCAGCTGCTTATAAAAATAAATTAGGAAACATTTTATAGTCTAAAACCACTAGCACTCATTTATGAATTCAATTTCACTAACTAGTTTCTAAACTTGAATAACTTGTATGCTGTACGTCTTACACTGAGACAAGAAGCCAAGGAGAGGGGGGAAGGGAGCAGGGAGTGCTGTGCATTTAAAAACAGCTGCATAGACTACATCTTTTTTTTCTTCTTTTTTTTTTTTTTTTAAGGAAATTCTTTGTTCAGTATGTGATTCTGTGTAACTGTCACATGACAGTACCTCAATTATTTAAATAGGAAACTAGCTCCATGGTTTTTTGGTCACTGCTGAATAGGGAACTACTGGGCTTTTTCCTTTCCTGTAAATTCTGACTTTTTTTTTTTTTTTTTTTTTTGTCTCTTCAAAATCCACTCAGCGCTTCTACTTTTTAACATTTCACACCCTCTGTCACTGGAAATGGGGCCACATTCTTTCCCAGTGAATAACACCACCAACAAAAGAAACTGAAATGTAGAGTGCTGCAGGCAGCTAAGGACCACCCTATGGTTTCAAAGACATAACACACCAGTCACTCATTTACAGGACAGCCTCCAGTTTCCCATTTATTTGGGGGCTAGGTAAAAAATGAGTGTCAGCCTGGACACGCCAAACTCATGCCAAATCCAAGTCACCAGGCCGAGGGAGTCAGATCATAACACAAGCTCCACTCCACCCTGCTCATGATATTCAGATCTGTATCTGTAACCAGATTTAGCTCACACACAACTCAGGATGTTGCAATTTGGATGTGGGCCCATCTGTAATAGACAACCAAAAAAAAACAAAAAAAAAACAAAAACTGTTAATACAACTAGCATGAAAACATGTTTAAGCTTTCTCCAAATAGATAATCAAACACTGAACTGTTTCAATTACTTGACTCTTCTTGTTTACACTCACAACAACCTGGAAGAAAGAACACAGTAACTTAACATTGAAAGAGGATTAATTCATTTCTTCCATGCACTTCTTCCAGTCCTGAGGTGTGATTTCTCCTACGCAGTGGTGATGGTTAGGAGAGAACAATGGGCACTTTGAAAACAAAGAAGAATTTTATCTTCACATAATTTTTTGTTATGAACAGGACCATTTGCTACATACTAAAAATAAACTATATATACTACACAGTACTGAAGAGTAGAAATTGAAAATGGTTAAATACTTGTCAGAAAAACAAATCACAATTTTTCCCTCATCCATACATGTGTTAGCAGTTACTCTCCCCAGCAGCATTATGCAGTTCATGCCTCTGATGACTCCTGGTGAATCTTTTTGGACCCTCCTAATTGCTGCTTACACATCCACTTTTCAAAATCAGCAGTGATTAAAGGCACATACAAAGCAAATCTCTATCCGGATTATGTTTAAACCTATTATTAGAAATGAAGAGTAAGAGAAACAACATTTCTCTGTGTTAGGTTTGTTTAATTTACCTGTCAACAGTCTAAACAGTCAGGTTCTCCCTTTTGTGGCTGGCAGGCTGTATCACTCCCAAGGACAACTACAGCTGCTGTCACATACGTGTTCTTCCCCAGGTTCAGCAAGAAGACATTTACTAACCATGGGAGGCTCAAAACAGCAAGCAGGCATGCAGAAACAAAAACTCCCTATATATTTTGATGCAGCTCTTCAGCTGACCTGGAACTCCCCTTCGTATGTAAACGGGAGAAAAAATCCACAACAATCTCTTTTTTAACTTTGGATTTTACTCGTATGCTCTGATTCGTAAAAATATGGCAAGTTCTTTCATCTAGTTTCAGAGAAGACTTTTTGTAGCTTCCAAATATGCAAAGCCAAAATCAAACTAGAAAGGAGGTTGATATTAAGTAAATATTAACCGTAGGTGTAACTAGTTTTAAGATATGTAGGAGAGCATTTAATCGTATTGTTTGCAGAATTTGGCTTCTCCAGTTCAGCCTGAATTTGGCAACAGTGTACTTACTGATCATAAACAATGATATTTAAAATATACCTGCAATTCACTTGGGGCTATTTTTTTCACCTTCTCTCTCTCTACTTTTTTTTTTTCACTCACACGAATCTCCCTGATGCTCAGCCAGCTCCAGATTCTCTAGCACGTGTTCATCTCAATTCCTACCATTTCTCCTGCTCATTCATATGTTTTCTTGTGTTCCCACTTCTCATATCTGGCAATGGGCCATGGGAAAATCCTTTTAGAAAGGAAAACAAAGACAAACCCCAAAACTGCGGGTTGGTATAGCAGACTAAATATTACTGCAAATTAGCTTGAATTCAGGAAACTGTAAAGCTCTTTTTTTATTATTTATTTATTTATTCATAGATTATGTCAGCACATGTGTTCTTATTTAGTCTTATTTCTTCCTTGCTACATGAAGCTACTTGCTTAGGGGGCTAAAGGACCTATTGCGAGTTACTACCTAATGTTTTCTTCCCCTATAAGTAATGTTCTGTTCTTAGTATATCCAGAATCTGTTCAATTTATCAACTTATTCTTCCATTTAAATCTTTTTTACTCTAAAGCTCTGTGAGAGAACATGCTCTTACAGTTTTTGAAGCAAGGATAGAAGCCTGACTAATTGAACCAAGGCAGTGTCATAACTCAATGATACTGAAAATTAATGAAGAAACTGGTTCACTCAAGGTTTTTTCTCCATGTGCTGGATTACAGATGGCTGCTGAGCAGATCTTGAAGGAAGTTTAAAAAATATTGATCAAATATAAATCCCGTAATCAAAAAATGAGTACATATAAAGTAGCAGCTTAAAATGTTCACATGCCTGCTAAAAATCTTCGTCTGCCTTCTTAATACTGTCAGATAAAGGAGGCTGACAGTTTTAGCATGTGCTTAACTGAAAATATAAAAGACTAGGCATAAATACGCCATGTCTGGAAGATAAAAAGAATAGTACCAAGATATACTTAAGAAAGCAAGTGCTTATGCACTTCATACAGTGTAGTTACAGTATATTACACAGAGTACACACGAGCTGCCTTGTCAAATTCAGATAGGATATAAATAGTGCTATTAGATGTTGGTAAAATTGTAAGTGGATACATATCACTCTACTATACAAAAAGAATCTCTCTGCTGGCATTCAATATCATAATGTTCTGTGACCATATCATCGTGGACTTTCCAATATTCAGACACAGCAAATTTTTGGTTAGTAATGTTGCTACTGTGAGCACAACTTTTGTATTGCTAAGCATTCATGCCTGTCAAGACTATGCTTTTCTCATTTCTGTGTTTTCTCTTGCCTTGTCTAACCTACTTCTGGCTTTGTCTGCTTAATAACCAGTATTTTGTCCTCTCCTTAGACACACATTCATGGTCCACTTTGTTAAATACCCATTCAGGCGCTGGCTCAGATAAACTCAGTCACCTTCTCTATTGACCAGTATTGCTGTTATTGAACACCATGCACCAGCACATTCGAGAAAACAAGAGCGTTCTTTTTACTCCAGACATCATCTGATATATTTTCCTCTTTCACCTCTGACCACACTATTTGGGACAAAAGTCATACAGTTCTCATGTATTCTAGACAAGGGACCAGAAGGAAGAGATGTGTGAAAGAGCATATTGAGAATTAATTTTGTACTAAATGCATACATGCCGTGGTTCACCACACATCCTGAATTTAGGAAAGTGTTCTTCCAGTGATGCTCGAAGCTCCATGCTGATGATCACTGTGTTGTCAGCGTGCTCCATTGTCATGCTGTCATAACCTGCATGGATGCAAAAATCCCACGCATTAACCGAAGAAGCATTGTAAGGGTGAAATGACTGGTGCTGCAGAATTCACATATGCTATTGTATTTTGTACATTCAAATTGTTCTTTGCAAGGGTTTGAAATTCCAGCTTTTACATTCAGGTTCCCAAATGGTGTAGTGGCATACATGTGTAAGGTTTTAATGAACATTCCCTCAAGCTGTTCGCAGAACACATTGACTGAGCCATCATTAGCTGCTTTTCTAGCAGCATAAACCTATGTGATCAATACATTTCCTGACTTTGTTCAAAGGCAAATTGTAATGATTCTATTGCTTCAAGTCATACCCAAACACTTTGATGCTTCCCTGAGTATGATAAAAGCAACCCTTTTTTTAAGGCTCTGAAGAGTACGCAACATATCATTCCATCATGATGAAGGGACCCCATCATTACATTACAGCTCTGAGATTTTGCATCCATTCATCAAATGTCTTTCTTTGACCATAATGGTAAATTCCCGATCTGTACTCATTTGTAAAGTTTCATATCATTCTTTTCTTTACTGCAAGCAGCAGGCATTGTACTTGCGAAAGAATGAGGAACAGCGGCATTACAAATACAATCAATACTTCTCCTGAAGAAGCCTCTTAATCAGAACTTTAATACCACACATGTTCCCATTTTTAACACATCATAGAACGGTCCCCATCTAACTGGGGAAGAGTTCTTATCATCTCCCCTTAAGTGGGCAGCTGCTGTGGGCTAAATATATGACTAAACTTCCCCAGTTTTCTTGGTGGTATTTCATCTAGGAGTGGTCCCATGCACTCAGAAATTCCCCAAATCCATCTCGTTTTTCAAAAAATATCGAGCAAACAGAGAGCCATATGCTACTGTTGCAACTGCAGCTAACTGCAGATTTCCTCATAACCTGGCTGGGGAAAAAATATAAATAAATCTGTGAAGGACTTTTCAGAACTGAAAAGCTGGATTTGCAATAGACTCCTTTTAAGTGACCATAGGCTGATGACTTAGTGCTCTTTGTCACAAATGCTCGTGCTGTGCAGCAAGTATCAGAGAGCCAATAAAAAGTTAATGAAAATACAAGCTAGTCTGGAATGTGCCATAAATAAAGTAACTATACTTAATTAATAAAAATAGAATATGAGCTAACTTTATGCTTAATGGTCTAGCTACAGAGACTGTTCGTGAATTCAATTACCTGGAATCAAATATATCCAATCAGAACCTGTCCAATAGAAACTGGAAAATGTTGAAAAATAGTTAATTCGGCCATGGCTTTCCTTATATAAGCCTGAAAAAACATTTCACCTCAAAATGGAGAAAGACTCGACTGGTGAAATACTTAATTTTTTGCTGTAGCAATTCATGAATGTGAATCCTGGGAAATTATTAATAGTGACAGGAAGAAAATTGAAGCTTTTGAGATGTGGTGCAAGCAAAGACTCTTGCATATCTCCTGGACAGAAAAGAAGATAAATGCTCATATTAAAGATATTATTGGAGAAAAGTAGACTTGGTTGTCAGAAATGAATCGGTCTGAATGTATGTGCTTTGGAGACATCAGGAGTAGAGATGGAAATAACCTTGAAAATGTAATTACGGAGTGAATGGTGACAAGTCATCATAATAGAGAACCGCTAGGAGGGAGGTGGATAGATGGCAGGCAGTAGATTGCTGTGACTTCAGGTAGTGAATGCCCAAAACTAGCAATGGATTGAGGAGGCTTCTAAAAATTCTCCTATGATATCACCAATATGCAGGTGCTGATAAATTGATTTTACTTAACTTGCAAGCAAAGGAAACAACCACAATTGTTCTGTCAATACAGTATTTTATAAATTGCAAGTGTATTTGCAAGTATACGCTTTTTTACCCTCGCTTACCCATCCCTGTTTTCTCTGAATGTGACTTTGTATCATGAAAGTCTGGTTGCAAGTAAAACTGCCCTTTCGGCAAGCGTGATTCAAAATAAGGGCAGTTTCAGACACTGTAACAGAAAACTGTCCTTGAGAAAAACAGGTTTTTTTTTTTCTTCAATTAGACAGCTTATGGCTAGAAATCAGTTTGAAAGGAGAACACCACCCATACAGTGGTCTCTGCCTTACTTCAGAAGGGGTGGTATTTCGTGAGCCCTCAGTGAGTCGTGGGACTCTCCCTTCTCTTTCCCAAGGAAGCCCTTTCTGTCTCCAGATTGTCTTAATGAGATAGCACGCACAAGTCTCCCTCCAAGCTTTTATGGATTTTACTTTGATTAAAGCAACTTGTTTCCAAAGCCATCTTTGTTGCATTTATCACGTACAAGTGGAAGACTTTTCTTCCTAGCTTTGTTTTCTGCCTGGCCAATGTAGAACATGGAACACACTCGTTAAGTCCCCACAGTAAGGACAAAGCACCACTTCTTGGTATATCCCTAGATGAGAGTCATTTCACTACAAATAACCTCCACAATGGGATGCATTTTGGAGCTCTTTTGTTGTAGCAGCACACATTGCTTAGAAACCTACCTTTAACTCAGATGAGCTGAGCGTAACCTCCATTTTCAATTTACAGAAGATGTAAAAAGCACCAACTGCTATATAAAATGAGGTAGTTAAAACAATTAGATGCTGTTATCCAAGACATATTACACTGCAAAGTTTAATTAGAAACATCAAGGATTTTTCTGAAGACCCAATACAGCAAACTTGGAGGCTATAATTTTAATTGGAGGCACTGTGTGCAAATGCATACGTGAAAGAACAAACTGATAGACAAAGAGGAAAGAAGAACAGGAGCAAGGACTAATACCAAAGTCAGAAAGCTATAGGAGAAACCTTCTGTGCAATACTGAGGACAAATAGATAAATAAATAAAATAAAATTCAAAGGCTCGTCATTTACTGAGTTCATAGGAACTTGTGTATTGCAGGAAAAAAAAAAAAAGAAAAAAAAAAGTATCATGGAAAAAAATAAATAGGTTTTCACTAAAAAAAAATAATTAAAAAAAAAAAAAACATTCATAACTAGGAAGCAACCTGCCTGAAAGCAACCTGATAGATATTGAAATCTGGCTAAATACTAGAGCTGAAAGCAAGTAATGATGTTTTGTTTCCTCTTGACCTATTTGTTGCCTAAAAAATACAACAGTGAAGGACCACACTCCACCTTTGCAGAGAGGTTCTGCCAAGCAGGACTTTTCAAGAGCATAGCTATTATTAGGAAGACAAGTGCTTTGCTAACCCACCAGATAGAATTTCTTACTTGTTTGCCCAGCTGACTGACAGATATGACTTACTCTGCAGTTCGTGATACACTGCAGTGTCTTGATATGACGACTTCTTCATTCTTGATCACTTGTAATATCTGTGCTTACTGTACTAACAAAGACCTGAGGACAACCATTAAGTGCACGTTGCTTAATTTAACATGAGCTAAGGGATTCCCTGGGCTTAAAGTTATCACTCCATGCTCTCTTCTGTTTCACTTGAAAGCTGTTTTGTTCGGAGAATCTTGTGCTGCATTATTTCCCCTACCAGAAAAAAACATTCCTCTTTTCCTGCTGCTTTCCTTTAACCTCTCCTGACATGGCAGAGAAAAAAGTGGAACAAACTTGCCCCACAAGAGTGCACAGCACCCTTTGTTTTAGTCTGTTTATAAATTCCACTTGTAATGGTAGATTAAATATATTAATAAACTAAAAAAAAAAAAAAAATGGATTGGATTAAATATACTTCAAAGAAAATAACAGGATTAAAAGTAAATAAATTTCAATAGAAATTTGGCCAGGTAGGAACTCAATAAAATCTGAGTAAAGACTAAAGGACTGGGTCTTATTATTAGACAGAGCCATCCATTAAACCCCAACTGATCATGTGAACCTGGCTACAGCTGTAAAAGCAGCAGAGTCCAAGTCAGATCTCAGCTGCATGCTGAAATTAGAAAGGTGAAGGTCAAATAAGCAAAGGCAACAAACCAGACACTAGCGGCTGCAGTCATGTCTGCGAGCAGATTTCAGGTCTCTTCCTTCAGACTACGAGCACCACAGGTCAGATGATCTGCAGCTTCTGTGTTTGCACATTTGGAAAACTTGATGCGTGCATTCCTGCTAATTGGCAGTTAAGGGTTCATTCATACCTCCCTTAATTGGGTCTGATATCAGAACCGCACGTTTTGTTTTAGCCCTTTAGAATTTCAAATGGTGCAGAAGTGTGTATCCCGCTGCTTCCCTTCTGCCTCTGCTGCGGAGAGATGAGAGACAGGCCACTGCCTAATCAGCCCGTGATTACAGAATTTGCACCTACTCCTCTCTCAACAACTTAGCTGATCATGATTTGTCTAAGACTCATTCAAAACAGCATATATCTGACTAACAGCATCTAAATTAATAGCTACCCTAAGAGCCCTCTGACAGTTTTACACCAGCACGCTGGCAAAATACTCCTGCTGTGGACCCAGGCTACGTCAGTGAGGTTGTGCTTTGTACTGATACCAGAAACTACAGGCAGAGAGGAGGAGCAAATCCTACCAGGAATGGAATTATCCACCAGTAGAGCTGCATCCACATTTAACAGCTCAGGACTCCAGCAACATCGGTGCTGGGGAGTGGCCAGACTTTTCATACTGCTGGCTAATCGTGTCTGTGAAAGCAGAAATCTACTGTAAACCTCTCCTTGAATACTTAGATTTCTACTGGTGTGTCTGGGGATTTTTTTCTCTGGTATACACCAGAAACAAAACCCTGAGAATTAAGAATCTTCAAACATTATTCCATAGTAATTACTAACTTCGCTTTTTATCTGAAGTCTGCAAGAAGATGCAGAGGTCTTGGTCCACGCAACCAAGAGCACTCCAGTGCACGGCTTCATGAACAGCTTGCTCAAGATGAAATAACATTTTAACTGAATGAGCCAACCTTAGCTGGCACTTCGAAGTGAAATCTATTAACTGTCACATCTAACTACATATTAGTTATAGAGTATGTTTATCTTATAATACAGGAGTTTATCTTATCCTTCAGTGGAAAATAAAAATGACGAGAAGTGTACGCTAGAGCTCTGCACTGTGTTTGTTCTTAACTTAGACTAAAAGCAAGCTGTGGGACAGCAGCCCTCTCCCCTTTCATTTTTTTTCCCTACTTCATGACCTGCTGTACAAAGGTTTCTAGGTAAAGATGAGTCAGTTTGTGAAACACTCGTAACTACAAGATCACAAGAAAACGTTATGACACCAGCTCATATTAACAGTTTACAAAAAACACCACTTTTCAAGGATACAACAATACTTAAACATTTAAAAACAGAAACTTCACAGATTATAGTGAAATTTCTAGAATATGACACCTATGTGACTTCAGTTCTGCCCAACAAAGTCTGTTTAGCATCTTCTTGTCTTCATATTTAGGTCATAAAAAAAAATCCTACAAAGGTTCACTTCACATTTATTTCTCGTACCATTTTTACTTACTAACTTCCATTCTCTCTTTTTCTATTTAAATTGAAGACAGCTCATATAGGTTTTTGATATATACTTTTCCTTTTTAGTAACAGAATAATCTTTTAGGATTTGTCTCTGATTTATTGTGTTAATTCAAAGTATATTAAAAATGAGGAATCTACATCAAATGAAGTGTTCATATTAGTCATTTGAATCGGGAAGCAACGTACCTAATGTAAGAATTGTAAAGATAAAGAAAAAAACAAGTTCCTTAAAAGTATAACTGTTTTGACAATATGCATTTTTGTATGTTATTGACAACAACTAAGGGTTGACAGGTAGTCTGAGTACTTCAGCTCTAAGGCAAATCTAATCTAAACGGCCATTGAATTTTGATGTTGGCTTTTTATTATTTATTATTCTTTTCAAGCAGTAAAACCTCCTTAAAACTGAATCCTGTATCCCACTACCATGGTCGCCTTTCTGTTGTGAGTGCCCCAATCCATTGATCCTTAAGCCTGGTGACAATCCCTTTTTTCTAACCTTGGACTTACAATCAGATCTAAACCCTTTGCCTGGCATCATTCTAGATTCCCAAATCAGCATCTGGGATCCGCTGTGTATTTCTGGCAATTCTCAATTGTTTCCACTATCACCCTTCTGAGCTGGTTTCACGTAGGCTATGGACACTCAAGGCTTTCCATTTAACTCCTGCAGGACAACATTGCAATCAAATTGGGAATATAGGTATAGAAAAGAGAATTCCTACCCACACATTATTACGCCTGAAGTACCTGAGGGCTCCTCAGTCTTCATTTTCCTCCCAGCTCTTGTAAACCTGGACACAGACATCCTTCTCACGAGCTGCAGGGCTCATCCCTCCTGTGGGCCAGGCCAGCCCCACTGCCGCACATAGCTCCTGTACACTCAGCCAGCTCCTTGTCCCCTTTGGCCACACTGACCCCAGCTGTCTTCCTCAGATTGCCTCTGCAGAAAATACACTAGAGGTGTTCAAAAGTGAGAACGATACTTTCAGCTGGTTCACTTAGCCAAGAAGTTGCAGACAGGGCGGGCAGCTGGATAAGTACTTGTGTCTATACGTGGACACATATTACATGAACTGCAGATTCAAAATGGACAGATACATCCTACTTTGCTACTGACCTTCTTTCCAGACATATTCCATCTCTTGGAAAGATGGAAGAATATTACATTACAGGGCCATTTCACAGGGAAAGCTTTCCTGAGAATACTGGCAAGGGCCCCTTCGATCTGCACCTTCAAGTTCCTGCTGAAGATTTATAAGGAAACCAATGTTTGAGATGCTCATCTGCCAACAGCGAGGGCGAAAAATGCAGATGTCGATGTGTAGATGTGGATCTATCCCCAAACTATCTGAGGAAGGGCTATTTACCTGCCTTCACACTGTTGGTGCCATCGTGCACAATTTACCACAAATTTTGTGATATATCACACCGGCTGGGCCTCAACACCATCGCCGGGGGAAGAAATAAAAGCTGAAAGGGAAACGTGGGGTTGAGCAGCGCCCACAAAACGCCACAGAAACTGCCAACAGCACCACACACCTTGGTGTGGGGAGCACGAGCTGTGGGGACAAACATGTCCCAGTCCCCTCTGCATCCCCCAGTCCTCACACACACCTCACATGGCAAAGGAGGAGACCCCTGAGGGTCGGGGCTCGGCTGGGGGACAGCCCTGAGGGCTTTGGGGAGCTCTGAGGGGCTGGGGGCAGCCTTGAGGTACTGGGATTAACTCTGAGGGGCTGGGGCTAACCCTGATGGGCTGGGGGAAGCCGTGAGGACTTCAGGGAGCCCTGAAGAGCCAGGGACAGCCCTGAGAGACTGTGGGGAGCACTGAGAGACTGCAGGGAGCCCTGAGGGGCTGCGGGGAGCCCTGAGGGGCTGGGGGCAGCCTTGAGGTACTGAGATTAACTCTGAGGGGCTGGGGGCAGCCCTGAGGACTTCAGGGAACCCTGAAGAGCCAGGGACAGCCCTGAGAGACTGCGGGGAGCCCTGAGGGGCTGGAGCCAGCCCCGAGGGGCCAGGGGGAGCCCCGAGGGGCCGCTCCAGGGCTTTTGGCGCCAAGCGTGAGGCAGCGCTGCGGCGGCCGTGCCCGGTACTGCCCGGTACTGCCCCGCCGCCGCCCTGCGGGAGGCTCTGCGGGGGGACGCCGCTCTCCGGCCGGTTCCCCCCCGCTGCCCTGCGACCGGGGCCGTGCCGTGCCGGGCTTGGGGAAGGGGGGGATCCCGCCTGGGCGGCAGGAGGAGGGAGGGGAGGCCGGCGGAGGGGGCGGCGCGGAGCCTCCTCCCGGCTGCCCTTCCCCGGCCGGTCGGAGAGCGGCACTGTGGCCCCGCGGCGCACGCTCCGCCGGAGCCTCCCCGTCTCCCCCTGCCTCCTCCGCCGCCAGCAGCAGCAGCAGCGAGCAGCTCCCCCTCCCCCGTTCCCCGAGCAGGAGCCGCCGCACCGCGGAGCAGGGAGGGAGGCGGCGAGGAGCGCAGGGCAGCGGCCGGCGGCGGGGGGGCGGCGGCGGCGGCGGCGGGGCGAGGAGCAGCCGGCGCGGAGCCTGCTCAATGCTGCACCTTCCGGAGCTGCATGAGGTAAAGGCGGCTCCGCGTCCCGCTCCCCTCCTTCCTCCCCCCTCCTCCTCCTCCTCCGAGGGGGGCCGGGGGTGCGCGGGGCCGGGGCCCGGGGGGGCTCTTTGTGGGCCCCGCTGGGGTGAGGGGCGGCGGCGGGGCGGCGAGGAGGGGCCGGGGGGCCGGGGGGGGCGGCCGTGAAGTTGCGGGAACAAACGGAAAGTGGGCAGCGGCCTGGCCCCCTGCCCGGGGGGGGCCCTGGGGCTCGGGGGGGGCCGCCGGGGGGGTTTTGTTTGCGATCGCCGCCGCCTCCCTGCCTCCCTCCCCGCCTCCCTCCCCCTCCGCCGTTGGTTTCTCTGCCTCCTGATAGTTTTGAGGCCTAAGCGCTTAGGCCTCGGCTCCCGGCGGCGGGGGGCCGGCTCCGGAGCCCCCCCTGACGGGGCCGGGGCCGGTTCCCCCCCGCTCCCCTCCCTCCGGGGCTGGCGGCGGGGCCCCGGGGCCGGGGCATCCTCGGATGGGGGCCGAAATTTCATTGTAAAAGCCTCGGCTCCGAAGTGAGAGCGTCGGGCTGGAGCAGCCCCGCGATGAAAGGAGGCGGCGGGGGGGAGCCGAGGGGCCGGGGCGGCGGGGGGGGGCGGCGGCCCGGCCCCGGGGCTGCCCGGCCCGGCGGGGGGCGGCGGCGGGGGGCTCGGCCGGCGCGGCGGGGAGCGGGGCCTTGTGCGAATTGAGGGTTAGAAATGGGAAAAAGAGGGTTAGAAAGTCGTGCCCATTCCGCTGAACTTTTGTTTTCTGACCGATAGAGGCCGGTAGAGGACTGCGCGGAGGGAAAGTTTCTGAGCGGCGGCGCCAGGATGGACTTCCCTGCTACCCAGCCGAAACCTGCCGCCGACGGTAAAATCATCTACTACCCGCCCGGGGTGAAGGAGATCACGGACAAGATCACTAACGATGAGGTGGTGAAACGGTTAAAGGTGAGCCATCCCGACCCCTCTGCCTCGCCACGCTCTCTTCTCGAAGGAAACGTTTCCTCACGGGAGAGGAGGGCAGCCAGCGGGTTCTTGTCGTGGCTGAAATGTCCGCTCCTTGCCTGCAGACCCTCACAGCAGTGCTGCTCCCGTGCTTCTCCTTAAAGAGGAGAAATCCTTTTATTTTGTTTGTAATTTGTGACTGTGTCCCCGTGTTCGCTCAAAGCTGGAGTCGATGCGGCTAATTTGTGCATGAAATACATCCGTGGTGCTGGAGACAGGTCTGAAGCAAAATCCTAAGTAACAATTTCAGGATATATTACTGAAAATACTCGCTGTCAAGCTAGAAGGTGTCTGTGGGTTCCAGCAGAGCAAGATGCAGTGGGGTGGGGGAGACAACTGGATCCAGTGTAGGGTGTTATGGACCAAAAAGCTAGC